CGGTTCTGCTCCGACTTAGCTAATGAAGACGGGCATACGCCATACACTATGTTATGAGGGAAATGTTGTCCTGACTGCTGTGCTAAGGCCTACTCTTATATCAGATTCCAACTGCCAAGGGATCTATTATGTGCACGCCGATGCGTACGCGGGACTTCGTTTTTTTTCGTAACACCCGAATGACCAGACAGCTGTCCTTGTCAAGCATGCGTCCAACGACACTGACAAGGTGAAAAAACGCTGGAAAATCTTGATGAACATTCTCAGCTAACACCGAGAACGAACCCGCGACCTCCAGACTAGCGAGTCAGCATCTTACTCACTTAGCCACCGTATGAACTAGGAGTAGATATGACTGCGACCATTAATAGGGGGGTTGGATGGCTGAATGGTTAGCGTGCGCGCGCTGTATCATAAAGTCTCTCATTGAGTCGACTTGCATGGTTTCGAATCCCCGGTTGTACGTGGCAAGGAGTAGGGTCGCCTGTCCTCCGGTTTCCTCCCACTGCTAAAGACCCCTACGCGCATGCGAATTATTGAAATAAAATTAAACCATATGTTAGTCCCGAAATGACCTAGTTTGTGTCGAGTGGACGTTAAACCCCATTTCTCTCTCTCTCTCTCTCTCTCTCTGCGACCATTAATACCACCAGTGCTACTAGTGGGATGTTCTTCCTGAATAACACTGGCTGAACACTACTTGATGGATCGGAGATAAATTATTTACTGTCAGTGCAGTTATATAAAAAAGTAATAATATTTTGACAATAATAAAAACATAAAAAGTCATGAAATGTAATAAAAAGATTATAAAAATATCATAAAATATGAAAAAAAAAATCATAAAAATCATAAATTCCACGAGAAGCTTTCATAAAAATATAAATTAATGACAAACATCTGTGTATGGTCCCTGCGATATTTATAAAAATAAATAAATTACTCTCCCATTGACAATAATAACCTTTTTAAATCTGTGTTACTTTCATGTATGTAGGTGTATGTTTTGTGTATTGTGCTGTGTTGTATCCGATGGACAGCCCAAGAAATAAAGAACTGGTGCCTGTTTCACGAAATTTTAACTAAGATAAAATCCAAATTTTAGTAATTTGATTGGATAATATTAGATTGATTTTAGTGTTTAGCCAATCAAAATTGAAGTATCTACTAAAATTGGATTTTATCTTTAGTAAAAAAAATTCGAGAAACAGGGAGCTGAACTGTTAACGTCGAACCGATCACGTTGACCATTTAAAAGCACAAATAATTTCATTATTCGCTTTAATTATGCTCGTCAAATAGATGCGTATTCTAGCCTTACTTAAAAAAGTATTATAGACTCTTTGATTATTTGATCCGACGTGGTTCTCCCTTGTCAGTGATGCAGGACGGAGAGACTGACAAGGAAAGCTGTCTAGTCGTTCGGATGGTACGAAAAACCGAGGTCAAGTGTACACATTGGCGTGCACGTAAAAGATCCCTTGGCAGTTGGAATTCGATATAAGAGTAGGCCGTAGTGCTGCTGTCCGGGCAAAATTTCCCTCATAGCACACTGTATGGCGTATTCCCGTCTTCATTAGTCCAGTTCGGAGCAAAACAGTAGGACGTTCAACCCCAGTTCATTTCATTTCATTTGATCATTTGATGTCTAAGGCTAAGGAATTCTACAGAAACGGTGCTGACAGGCCCGTAACTAGAGGGGGAGGGGGCAAAGCCCATTGCAAAAAAAGTTTCGCCCCCCCCCCCCGTGAAAAAAAATTGTCGACAATAAAAACAATATACATACATTGTCCGTCAATTTACAGCACCCCCTGAGAACACATCCCGCCCCCCCACCCCGGTGCTCTCAGCTTGTTATGGCCCTGGGTGCTGCAAAGTGAAAAAAAATGTTTCGTCTGTTGGAGTAGATAAATAGATAGATAGATTTTATTACATAAACACACTTTTCGGGCAGCATGTAAATTATACATTACAGTCAGCATGATAAATCTTCTATATATATATTTGTGACTGTCGTTTGTCTGTCTGTCTGTCTGTTCGGGGTTGGCGGCTACACTAGGTCTGCCCCGAGTCTGAAATTTGGGGTATATGGGTAGCTCGGACCGGGGAGTAACATAGGCCAGGTGGCGTTAGTCTACCACTTCCGGTTTCGGAGTTATGGCCCCCGAGCGAAGCCGGGTATCCTGCTAGTACATTATAAAAGTGGATAAAAAATACATAAAAATGGATGAAAAATATATAAAACGTGGATAAAAATTACATAAAAGTGGATGAAATGTACATTTATATACATGGAGGGAGTGTGTACAAAATAGAAGATGTCTTTGAATTGTTGGTTATTTTATTTTTGGGGGTTTATGTAGAATTGGGAGCCACATCCCTAATTTTGAAAGCATGTTGCACAAAATTGCAAACTGTTTTTGTCAGAGCAAACGGCGGGCTAAACATGTTTTCGAAAGAAATAGTATAGTTTTGGGTCTCAAATGCCCCATAAACAATTGTATGACGGCTGGTATAACTAATAACGACTTGTTCCGTGATCTTAAGTTCCTCTACTAGATTCGCATAGAATGGGCAGTTGAAATTCGGTATAAGTGTATAGGCCGTAATGCCGCTGCCCGGGCAAAATTTCCCTCATAGCACAGTGTTTGGCGTATGCCCATCTTCATTAGCCCAATCGGCGCAGAACAGTAGGGCGTTAAACCCCATTTCATTTCGCTTTAAAAGTCAGTACGGTAACAGAATTTTACTTTTTATACGTTGATTTATGGGCAACAAATATAAGATTTTATTTGATTCCCTCTAAGTGGAGTGCTGAGCTGAAGTAGTCTAGCTTTCTATCGCCAAAATATTATATCTGAGGGGGTGTTGTGCGTGTGTGCGTGTGCGTGTGTGTGTGTGTGTGTGGGGGGGGGGGCTTTCACATATCGTACACTTTCTGGCGATAGTAGGTAGATTTTATTACATAAAAGACCATTTTCAGGCAGCATGTAAATTATACATTACGGTATGCATGATAAATACGTTTTAAAAAAAATGGATGAAAATACATAAAAAGTGGATGAAAAATACATTAAAAGAATAGACGAAAAATATATATAAAGTGGATATGAAAGATACATTAAAAGAATATATGAAAAATATATACAAAGTGGATATGAAAGTTACATAAAAAGTGGATGAAATGTACATTTATATACATTGAGAGAGTACATGTATGTACAAAATATAAACCAAAGTTTTGAATATATGTAATAATCGCTTGAACTAAACGTGAAGAAATGGTCTTTGAGTTGTTGGTTATTTTTGTTGTTTATAGAAGTGGGTGCCATATCCCTTATTTTGAAAGTATGTTGCACAGAGATGCACACTGTTTTTGCCAAAGCAAACGGCGGGTTAAACATGTATTTATGTTATTTGGTAGAAGACTCAAATAATTTCCTTATTACATGTCACTCTGTTTTGATGTAGGCCTATGACTTGGAAGTGTATAGGCCTAGCCTACTTTAAGTGTAAACTCCCATTTTGTGAAAAGTGTGGGCTATGTTGAATGTTCACAAAATGATTTCACTTTTTGTTTAAAAAGAATGGTAAAACTGTAATTTTATGTCTACGAGAACGTAGCTTAAAACGTTGAGATATACTGATGTGCTTGTTTTTAGCTACGATTGGGTGCCTTTATTTCCAAGTATAAATAGCAAACTCTTAGAAATAAGGTTATTTTATCACTATTATGACTAATCAAACTTGCAGAGGCCAATGTTGTGGCACAACTATCGCCGAACTCCAAATATTCGCGTTTTAATTAATGAAGAGTTGTTTTTATCCGACATCCGTCTCCCGTTCTTATAGTAACGGCTTAACGCCTCGATTTTAAATACCCGTTTCAGGTAGGATTATAGGCTTAATTGTACATAGTTTGACGTGGCAGAAATATTATAAATAACATTAATCAATCGTTGTTTTGATGAAAAATATTGCCAATTTCGCTTACTGAGTCCCGCTGTGATTTGTGTTGGGCTTTGCTACGTAGAATATAGTTGCCTAATAGCACCATCTCTTATCTCGAAACACGGAGGGTTGAGAGATGAGGTTTGTTACGGTATCTAACGTTTTCTCAGTCTTGATATATCCCTACAAAAAACTGGCTAGGGTATCCTTCACGTAAGTCGCTCCATTATTCTAGTATAATCTTGTACCGGTAGTGTAGAAGCATTTCTAATAGTTAACCATGCACATGCCACATGGCCACAATATTTTGAGGTTATACATGATTACATGTAGTCTAAATAACGACGAGTAAATTCTATTGACACTATTGTGTTGTTTTTATCATTGTTGCTGTAACATAGTCCAATTTTTATGATATGCAAAAAATAACAAAGGTAATTTTACAAATTAAAGAAATGAAATATCTTTATCGGTGTTCACAAAACAGCCATTGATTAATTAAATAATACATGTATCTTTATTATGGACGGCCAAGTCTACTCTTGTAAAGAAAAGATAACTGTAAACGAAACTAGCGGACGACAAAAAGGCATATCACTACGCCATATTAGCAGGTGCCCGTTGTGTCGATTGGGACGGTTGCTGGTGTATTTTGTTACTTTTTAACACGTAAACACTTATTGCATTATCAAAAGACTATTATTATGGACTTAAAAAAACAAGTAGACAAAAACTGAGGCGACATTTCTCAAAAATGTGTACATGGCACAGTACCAAATCAACTTGGAACCGATGCACATATAAATATTATATCATGTTTCCACAGAAAAATAGTTTTTAATTTGGATACGATTTTATGTCGTTCTTTCGTGTCTATATTTCAAATCAGAGTCCAGTATGAATTAAGATTATTTTATGTTATGAAAATAAAACATATTAATTATATTATTTAAGAATTAACATAATCGAATTTCAGAAACCAAACTAGTACGCGGAAGTCAGAAGCCACGTGACTAAGGCAACCAATCAAATCAATCGCCACAAATAACATGAAGCCATCTTCCGGTAGAAATTTACGAGCGAAATATCAATCTTGAAAGGTCCCAGAAAATTATTTTGTTAAGAATTGTTTGAAATCGTGTTATTTCTGAGGTAGGTATGAAAATTCCGAATGCTGCATATCTCGAGAATGTAAAAAAATTATACAAAGAATGAAAAGTTGTTCTAGAGCCGTGTTTTAATCCAATCTTTTGACGTTGTCGTGCGTTACATTGCAGTTCAGCGTAAAAAAGTCAACAACACATTTGCGTGAAGATTTTCTGAAAGTCATTGTTGGTTACGTTTCTGAATGTGTCCTAACGAATGGCCTCAATTACCGAGACCGGTTTCAGAAGCGTGGAATATATGATTGTTCACAAAATGCACATCTAAAAGAGGAAGTGACCAGATAAACTCCAATGCAATTATTTGTGAAATGCTAAACCATTGATTGTTGATTTCACATTGCAGATCTCAGTGCAATGCTTACAGCTTTTGAAGTTAGGCTAATAATGAGCACCAATAGTTATTGACAAAATTCATGTACATAACATGATGCAGTGGTTTTGGCTTCCAGTACAGATGCAATGTTCTTAAATTTAAGATGTCATGTTCCCTGATCTGCAAATCATCAGAGAATTTGTCTTTCTTTGAGAATAACAAATATTTACATGTATTTTAATAGAAATGAATGATGTTTAAACGTTCTACTTTTCTGCACCAAGCAGACTAATGAAGACGGGCATACACATACATTGTGCTATGAACAAAATTTTGGTGAAACTACATGTACGTTTACGTACCCATCATCGAATCAAACTGTTGAGGCTTCGTTTGTGCGCATGGGACCACAGGTTTTCATTCAGTCCGAATGACTCAGACTAGGCTCTGTTTCTTTCCAGACCCTTTGCCCAGTACAATTGGCATGAGAAAATCATGCTGGGAAATATTGCGAAATTTTCTAGGCCTGTACTGAGCCACAGAGGAACCAGCAAAATTGACCAATTTTTTTTTGACATTGTTGTTTGGTATTTGATATGTTTGTTTATTAACCTTTCCATGGATACATACATATGTAGGCCCTATTGGTATCTATATTACTTGGATTCAGTCCACTGAAGTCTACAGGGTGTGATGCTACATTTAATTACTTATTTCCAGAACATATGATACCACATCACTGCACTCATTTAAGTGTGACCATATTGTTCATTGATATCGTTCACACACGTTACATTTGTCTCAACATTTAGACTCCAAAAGCATTATTTAAAAACATTATGCATGGTCCTGCCAATTCATGGTCTGTTTGTTGTATGTTTTGTTCTTCTACCCTGCCTGTCATATTTCACTTTAAAATGTATGCATGGTCCTGCCAATTCATGGTCTGTTTGTTGTATGTTTTGTTCTTCTACCCTGCCTGTCATATTTCACTTTAAAATGTATGCATGGTCCTGCCAATTCATGGTCTGTTTGTTGTATGTTTTGTTCTTCTACCCTGCCTGTCATATTTCACTTTAAAATGTACTTTCTGTTGTCAGGGCAATGAACAGTAGTAGTACCACTACTGGAGAAAATCCCAGTGAGGATCCATCACATGATAATACCTCGTCGGCACCGCTATCTACCACTTTACCAATACCTAGTCAGACGAGTCACGGTCATATCCTATCACAACATACAGATCATATCAAATCTGCAGTAAGTACATAAATTATTCTATGTTATTATTTGAAAAACGGTATTACCACCCGAAACGTCATATCATTAAAAAAAATCTCTACTCAAAACCACATCCGTTGTGCTGCTGTTTTACAGGGATTCCTAAATTTATTTTATTGCTCTCTTGCCCCACTGGTGTAATCTTCCAGATCCAGTACCCACTCAGATCTGCCAGCTGGTCCGTTGCTATAGTTACTCTGTCACAGGAGTGTTGCCTTTCTTCTTCTCGTACCTAATTAAGTACGGTACATAAATATAAGGAAATGAAATGGGGTTTAACGTCTTACTGTTCTGCTCCGACTGGGCTAATGAAGACGGGCATACGCCATACAGTGTGCTAAGAGGAAAATTTTGCCCGGATAACGGCACTCCGTGACGCCAATGTGTACATGGGGACCTCGGTTTTTCGTACCATCCGAACGACTAGACAGCTGTCCTTGTCAGGCCCTCCGTCCTGCATCACTGACAAGGGGGAACCATGCCGGAAAATCTGGATGAACTTTCTCGGCCAGTGCAGGGGTTGAACACCTGACCTCATGGCTAGTGAGCCAGCGTCTTACCCACTTAGCCACCATGACCCTCATAAATATAAGGATCTGTCGGTAATGTACAGGGATGGCTCACTGTTTAACCCTTGCATTACTGGTCACTATGGTCAACAGCTTACACTGTATTCTGGGTATCATTTTATCTTGTGTATTTAGCACTAATTTCTTGCACATTCATTTAATATCAAATCTTTGTTTAAAAATTCGTAAAAAGTAATTAACATCACCCAAAATGATATAATTTGTACTTGTGTCCTGTTTAAAGCTGACTGATTAATTTTGATAATGAGTGTCCAATTTAAATGTATGTAATTTCCTGACTATTGCTCAAAAATTAATCATTATACAGTGTACATGTACATCAATAATCAATTGGGTTGTTAATTTTCTAACAGTGATGGAGAAATTAAACAGTTGTAAATTGGACACTCATTATCAAAATCTTTTCTAAATTCTGATTGAAATTAGTGCAAAAAATCGCTACAGGTTCAAGTTAGATTTTTTATTGTCCCCCGCCTTTCGAAGAAAGCAGGGGACTATTAAAATGGGTTCGTCCGTCTGTCTGTCCGTCTGTCTGTCCGTCACACTTTTTGGGACACAATAACTCTCTTCCTAATTGAGCTAGAATGTTCAAACCTTGTGTATGTGTTTATTAGGTCAATGCCTTGATGGAGTTCGAAGATGAGCATTTTCCGCTTAGGGTAAGCAGAGATAAGCAATTTGATTGGTTGATGCTTTGGGACACGATAACTCTCTTCCTAATTGGGCTAGAATGTTCAAACTTGGTGTATGTGTTGATTAGGTCAATGCCTTGATGGAGTTCGAAGATGAGCATTTTCCGCTTAGGGTAAGCAGAGATAAGCAATTTGATTGGTTGATGCTTTGGGACACGATAACTTTTAATTGAGCTAGAATGTTCAACCTTGGTGTATGTGTTTATTAGGTCAATGCCTTGATGGAGTTCGAAGATGAGCATTTTCCGCTTAGGGTAAGCAGAGATAAGCAATTTGATTGGTTGATACTTTGGGCACGATAACTCTCTTCCTAATTGAGCTAGAATGTTCAAACTTGGTGTATGTGTTGATTAGGTCAATGCCTTGATGGAGTTCGAAGATGAGCATTTTCCGCTTAGGGTAAGCAGAGATAAGCAATTTGATTGGTTGATGCTTTGGGACACGATAACTTTAGTTCTAATTAAGTGAGATTGATGAAACTTGGTGTATAGATTTATTATATGAATACCTTAACTAAGTTCGATAATGAACATTTTTTGCTGAGGGTAAGCAGAGTGATAAGCAATTTGATTGGTAGAAACTTTGGAACACAATAACTCTCCTTCTAATTGAGGTAGAATGTTCAAACTTGGCATAGGTGTCTATTAGGTGAATGTTTAAACTTGATGTATATGTAGATGTTCATTAGGTGAATGTCTTGACTGAGTTCAATAATTAACATTTCGAGCTGAAGCTAAGCAGAGCTAATCGATTTCATTTGTCGATGGTTTGGGACAAGATAATCTTGATTCTATCTGATAGAGAGTGATGAAACTTAGTGAAAAAAATAAATGTGCGATTAATTAATATGTGTCATCTATTTATTTTGCAATTTCGGCGGGGGACATCAGCCTCACTGTTGGCTTGTTGCACATTGTCATAAAATCTGAACGTAGATTTAAGTTGGTAGCTGAACTTGGATTAGGTATATCTGTTTCAGATGACCATTTATAAGGAGATTCTCAATTTTTATTTATGTTAGCAATTAAAGTATAATTTTGATATGTATTTTATGTATTGATTGTGATTACAGAAGAATGTTCGTACGATAGCCCCGGCACCTGCCCCTACAGGTATATTACATCCAGGTAGTGGTGCAAATCACAATACACCTGCAGTCGGAATGTCGGCTACGGCGTCAGGTTTACTCTCACAGTCATTTAGAACTCCTCAAAAAGGTGGGTAATAAATTTTTATTACTTAGGTCGGGATGTCATTTTTTTACCTTCCGTATATAAGTCGAAACGGGGTATAAGACGAATGCATTAAAATTTTGTTCTATGGGAAAACATAGTAAGATTTTTGGGGGGAGGAGGGTGATGGCCGAATTGATAGGGCGTGCATGTTGCATCATAAGGTCTGTCATTTAGAACTCCTCAAAAAGGTGTATATTAAATTTTTATTAGATCACATGTATTAAAATTTTGTTCTATGGGAAAAACTTAGTAAAATGTTTTTTTGGGGGGGGGTGCGAATGGATAGCGCATTGTATCATAAGGTTTGTCATTGAGTCAACTGGCTTGGTTTCGATTCCCCGGTTGTACGTGACAAGAAGTAGGGTCGCCTACTTGAAATTGAACCATATGTTGTGTCGAGTGGACTTTAAACCCCATTTCTCTCTCTATTGAAATTTGCTTCCCATTTCTTTTTAGGTGGGGGTGGATTCAGAAACAAAAATTACTTGAATTTGTGTCTTGCTCTAAATATGTAGAACTAAATGAATAAATTGTTTACATAAAAGACGATTGTCTAAACGATTTTATCACTTTACTAGGGGCTACTATACAAAGCTGTAATAATTATTAATTTTTTTAGGGACCACTGAGTCAAGTCATGTTAGTAATATTGGTTCTGGATTAGTTGTCGGACCTCACCAGGTACCAGTCTCGATACCCCAGTCTAACCTTGTACAGATGACGCCAGTAATATCAACACAGACAGTGGCTCCCTCTGTAATCGCCACGTCTTTACCAGTCAAATTAATCCAACAACAACCTTCCAAGTTTCCTTCACATTTACCCAGAGGTAAATAATGCCCTTTATTAGTCCATAAAGATTTTCTGATTGGCACAAAATTAACATGTCCTTCCGTTCACAATTTGTTTGTGGACAGTCAACAGGTCACAATTTTTATCCGATTTTGACGAAACTTAAAATATGTTTATATCCCAAAGAGCTCAGTTCCTTTCGAAAATAACTTTGTGAATTATGACCCCTAATTGTATGAACAAATTTTTTTTTATTAGTTTGTTCTCTGTCCATCTCTTGCAAAATGTGGGTTTATCTTGTATGGCAACCGCTTAGTTTGATAATTTTAGGTTATATCATAAAGTCACTTTTTTTAAATTTGTGAAAATCATTTAATGATCGTATTAAACAAATTAACGATTCTATTACTAACCTTTGAACTTTGGTGTTATTTCAATAGGTCCAGTAGCTGCCTCTGCTTTATCACTGACAAAAACGGGCCCAACAATGGCTGCTGGTTCTGCCATGTTACGTCCATCACAAGCAGTTCAGATTCCCATGTCAACAGCACAAGTAATACCAACCCTTTTACAAACAAACAGACCTTCGTTAATTTCTAATATTAAGCCTGGAACTCCCCCAGTTGTACGCTCAGCTACACCATCTATAGGTATCTCCATGCCAACTGGAAAACTTGCAGAACAACTTAGGTGAGTTTTTTTTGTTTTTTTTATCATTAATTCATTTGTTGCAGTGTTTGTTAAATCGAGGGTTATGGTGGCTAAGTGGGTAAGACGCTGGCTCACTAGCGTGGAGGTCGGGTGTTTGATCCCTGCATTGGTCGAGAAAGTTCACCCAGATTTTCTGGTGTGGCCCCCTTGTAAGTGATGCAGGACGGAGGACCTGACAAGGATAGCTGTCTAGTCATTCTGATGAGCGAAAAACCAAGGTCCCATGTACACATTGGCGTGCACGTAAAAGATCCCTTGACATTTGGAATTCAATATAAGAGTAGGCCATAGTGCCACTGTCCGGGCAAAAATTCCCTCATAGCACACTGTATGGGGTATGCCCATCTTCATGAGCACAGTTCGGAGCAAAATAGTAGGAAGTTGAGCATTTTTATGTGAAAAATTGTTCAATTTTAAAGACTTTGTCGTAATCACAATTCTAGAAGAATTTAAATGCCATACCCACCAATTTTTTGAAAATGAATTATTTATCATGTAATTAAAGATGCATTAGTTAAGAGCTTAAAAAAGAGTTGGCCATTCTTGCTATATCAAATAGTTGATAAAAAAAAGAAAATATTGAAAATTTAAGTGAAATTACTTTATTCTGAACGATGTTATTACTGTTGGAAGTTTAAATTGTTTCAGTGGCATTTAATAATTGAACTGGAATATACAGTTCACAATTCTATGGAATACAATTACTGCTTATTACTGAGTGACGTTTCCACTAGGCTTCTCTCGTCATTATCAAGCAATGATAAGTTGTGAAATTATAACAAGACATTATATACATGTACACAACAATACATGTTCAGTTTTTGCGAAGAATTTCATGAACATATTATTTTTAATTTCAGGCCTAATTATCAATTTCACCCTGGCTCAGTGACACCTGTTTCTAATACAGGAATTCAGATTACTCTACGTAACACAGAATCGACAGCTAAACCTATTATAGCACATACTGGTCACAATCTAACGAAACCCGTACAGTTATCACAACAACAGCATCCAGTCATACCACAGTCAAAAATAATAGTATCTCAGTCGAATAATCCCATGATAGCTTCATCATTAGTCAATGCAACAAAAACAGGTTAGTGATTCAATTTTTTGTCCCCCGCCTTTCGAAGAAAGCAGGGGACTATTGAAATAGGTTCGTCTGTGTGTCTGTCACAAGGTTTGGGACACATTAACTCTCCTTTTAATTGAGCTAGAAAGCAGGGGGCTATTAAAATGGGTTTGTCCGTCTGTTTGTCTGCCCGCCACACTTTTTTCAACACAATAATTGAGCTAGAAAGCAGGGGACTATTAAAATAGGTTTGTCCGTGTCTGTCTGTCCGTCACACTTTTTGGGACACAATAACTCTCTTTTAATTGAGCTACAATGTTCAAACTTGCTTTATTTTATTTCCACTAACCAGGAGATCCTGGGTTTGATCCCGGTGTTGGTTTAGAAAATTCCCCAGGATTTTCCAGTTTGGTTTACCCTTGTCAGTGGTACAGGGTGGAAAGCCTGGTAGGGAAGTACATGTATCTAGTGGTTCGGATGGAATATAAAGCAGAAGTCCCGTTCATGTGAAGTTGGAATTAAAATACAGATCTATATTTCGTTTTGTTTTTATACGCCCACTCTACAGGCTACATTTATCATCTGATTGTTTTGAAATTGATATATGTTGTTTGCATTAGTGAGATGAAGAAGCTTATTTAATTTCAATAATTGCCGTTAATTTTTCTGGAGTTATGGCCCTTGTTTCACTTTGTTGCACCTTCTGAACGCTCTAACGACAAAAGTTATTATTGGATCTGTATAAAAATTATAGCTGCTGTGGGCATATGTTTTGTTGCCTGGCAACCTATCTTTTATACTTTCGTTCGCCTACACTACATGAAGATCTGACTGGTTGTAGTGGAAGGTCGCGTCAGGGGTCGTACTAGTCCAAATTTGATTATATTATTTCAAATTCATCGAAGAAACTTGTTGTCAATCACAAAATACTGTCTCTTTATTTTAATAGTCCTCTGTGAAGACATTCATATATCTTTTTTTTTTCAGCAAAAATAACTGCTCCAAGAGCCCCACCAGTTCAAACCTTGTTACCGTCATCTGTGACAGAAGTAAGTCGTTCCGATCAGACGTCACATCATACGTCGAGTGGTATGTTTTTCCCCAATCAACATCGTGGAATTGTAACAACGTCTAGTTCTGTGTCTGTACCAGTCACGATATCCCAATCAGTTCATCAAACAGATTCAAGACATGACAACAGGTACGCTGCCTTTAAAACATTTGCTAAATGGGGACAGAAATATTTTGAAATTAAAAAAATGGGGACTGATTTTCTTATCGAATTAATTCATTGATTTTAATATTTATGCACCCACACTTTCATGTGGACGTATATTGTTGTCGCCCCTGTCTGTCGGTCCGTCCACAATTTGTTTGTGAACACTCTACGGGTCACAATTTTTATCCAATTTTGACCCAAAGATCTTGGTTCCTTTCGATATTTGTGCATATCAGACCATAACTTCTTGGATTAAGGCTGTTGATTGTACGAAAAATGACTTTTTAGCTTGTTCTCTATCCATCTCTTGCAAAATGTGTCCGTATCATGTCTGGCAACCACTGGTTTGGTGAACAATTTGCTTGAATTTATGACAAGCTTGTCCACACCAAGTATTATTACGTTGGGTGGTCGAAAGATATAAGTGACTAAGCACTGAAATCAGTCTAATATTATCCAATCAAATTACTAAAATTTGGATTTTGACTTAGTTAAAATTTTAGTAGATACTTCAATCTTGATTGGCTAAGCACTAAAATCAGTCTAATATTATCCAATCAAATTACTAGAATTTGGATTTTGTCTTAGTTAAAATTTAGTGAAACAGCCGCCTCATTTCTAGCTTGCGACGAATAATCTTGTATTTTTGCTTATCTTTCAGACCGAATATTTCTACTCTCCCGTATGAATCGTCAGTGTATAACATGTATAATTCTCACCTGCCCAATTATTTGATGTATCATAATGTTCAAAATGCTGGATCTTTACCGCCAAGTGCTGTACGTCCTGCTGGTATCAATTTTCTACTATCCAGTCCTCGAACTAATTTAGAGCAATCAGGTAAGGCTCGCAATATTAATATATATACAATCGATTAAAATACAGATATATATTTCGTTTTGTTTTTTTTATACTTTCGATGGCCTACACTACATGGAGATCTGATTGGTTGTAGTAAAAGGTAGCGTCATAGGTCATACGAAAGGCTTTTGACCCTGTCACGTCAGACATTGATTAATCACTTAGCGTTGACGTTTCTAGTTGTTTACTCTTACCCACAGTTCCGCGCGTCACACGCCAAAAACTTGCTGTAACAGACTGTTTCATTGGCTAATCCCTCACTTCAACCAGAACGTCAGTAATATAACAACTCTTCCAGATCCTAGTGTAGTAAAGACAAGTAAAACGAAATTTTAAACTATAAAAAACGAAACGAAATAGGACCTGTGTTTTAATCAGATTGGAATATGTATTATATAATAAGGATATATATTATTTAATGAGACAATGAAAAGTGATATGACTGGAAATTACTAATGAAATGTGATTTTTGGCAGAATTGTCGGCTTCACATGTTCAGAGGCAAGAAAATGAACAACCCAGTATCACTCAATAACATGTGTTCACATTGACGAGCCACATCGTCACAAGGAGGAGATAAGCTTCAGATGTTAATCTCAAAATGATCTAACCAATGATTTCATGAAATTATCGAATCGATGTATTTTTCTAATAACTTGATGTCACAAATCGCAATTATTCATAATTAAACTTTTTTTAAAATATGCATTTGCTGTAATTTAGAAATTTTGGGGGTATTTTATGCCATGCATCTCTATAAACCATAATTTAAAAACATATTTTGTAGTATTTTCGACTTAAATCTATTATATCTTTTAAAATATATTTTGTGGTTATTTTCGGCCATAGATCGATAATTATATCTTTTAAAACATATTTTGTGGTATTTTTAGTTACAGTGACAAATCCAGTACCTAATTTATCAGCACCGTTGCAGAATCATCCAATGACAATGGCGTCCTCATCGACTGTGCGATTTAATCCTATTATGATTGACCAGAATCGTCACACGTTACCAGTAGCATCATACAGTTCATCTTCATCATCTATATCCTCATCTCTAGAAAAAACAGGTAATGGATTGTGGCCCACACGTTGCACCATCCTTTCAAGGTTTATTTCTCAAAATCCCTGCTCACTGATAATTCCGTCGAAGACCAAAAGTTGTTATATGAGACTGTGGGAGGATATCTGACAATTCAAAAAAAATAATTAAGAGCAAGCGAGAAAAATAGAAAAAGTCTGTGCATTACCATGTTTTTATTAATTATAGTATAAACAAAAACAAGGGCATCACTGGACCATACGAAGATGTTATAAACAATAGCACCCTGTATAACGTTGTATATTTTTTTTGATACAGGTAATTATCTAGGAACCAGTTTATCTGATAGTGGAATAATGTCAAGCCTGTCGTCAGTGGCTACAGTAGCTAGCAGTATATATGCCTCTACAACGGGTAATCAACATCATCAACCGGTCTCGTCTAATTCATCTAACCCCAGTGCTTCTCCTCGACCAACTATACTCAGAAAACGTACCAGTGAAAAGTAAGTTTAGCGGCTCCTAGAATCTTTAATTATTTCATTTCTGTTGTGATCGTCATGTTGTCTTGAACAAACCGTTTGGTCAAATTACCTTTTTTTGAAAAAAAAAATTCACCTTTAAAGATATATTATGAAAGATTAGATAAAGAACTGGCTGTTCATGTTTTTATTGATTATAAATAAAGTATACTTAAGAAATGAAATGAAATGGGGTTTAACGTCCTACTGTTTTGCTCCTAAACTGTAGTAATGAAGACAGGTATACGCCATACAGTGTGCTATGAGGGAAATTTTGCCCGGGCAGCAGCACTACGGCCTACTCTTATATCGAATTCCATCTGCCAAGGGATCTTTTACGTGCACGCCAATTTGTACACGGGACCTTGGTTTTTCGTCCCATCTAAACGACTAGACGGCTGTCCTTGTCAAGCGCTCCGTCCTGCATCACTGACAAGGGGAAACCACGCCGGGAAATCGGGATGAACTTTCTCGGCCAATGCAGGGATCGAACACCCGACCTCCAGGCTAACGAGCCAGCGTCTTACCCTCTTAGCCACGTGATCCCCTATACTTATAAAGATGGCTACCCTAATTTACTTTAACACCTCCGACTCAGTTAACCAGCACCCCACTCCCCAAGCCATCGTAACTCCAGGTTCCTATATTTTATAGTTTTTCTATGTTGAAAAAATATTAAGAATACAATGTTCTAATAAAGATTAGAAATTTGTATGTTTTCTTTTTGTTTTTTTTTCCAGTGTGAATAGTGTGAAGAGATCTTTAGCTTTAATGCCTGATAATCATAGTCCGCGACCAGAAACCTCGTCTAGCCAACCACAATCAAATACAAGTTCACCTAAAACACCAGCAGGGTTAGTACACTTTAATAGTGTTGAGATAGACTTTACTGTGGGGGTGGGGGGTGGATGGCCAAATGGTTATCATGTGCGTGTTATATTATAAGGTCTGTTATTGAGTCAACTGATATGGTTTCGATTCCCTGGTTGTACGTGACAAGGAGTAGGGTTGCCAGCAGGATTATTGCACTCCAGTGGTATTGAGATAGTTGTTGAATTTTTACTATGGGGGTGGGGGTGCTGGATGGCCAAATGGTTAGCCGTATCATAAGGTCTGTCATTGAGTCAACTGGCGTGCACTCCAATGGTATTGAGATAGTTGTTGAATTTTTACTATGGGGGTGGGGGTGCTGGATGGCCAAATGGTTAGCCGTATCATAAGGTCTGTCATTGAGTCAACTGGCGTGGTTTCGATTCCCAAATTAACCAAATTTTGACAATTGAAAATATGGACTAAAATTCAGTTGAGGCTTCTCTAACCTGACAACGTGGCAGTGAATTATCTGAGAAGATTTATTATATTTTAAATGGTTTGGAAGGACCCCTTTCAATATTTTTGTAATTATTTTTTTTTTAGAGAGAATAGTCAGTCATCAACGGATACAGCCCTTTCATCAAATGATGCAGCAACTCCAACACAAAATTCAGTTCCAGATATACGTGTTAAACAAGAACCTGGGGAAGTTCTAGAAAATGGTAAGTTACAATTAATGACTTAATTTCTTAATTTGGTTCCAAGCTGAATGATGATAAAGATGAGAGTATCCTCATTGAAATATCTTAGTATTAAATTCAGTAATTGTGTATCCATAAACATTGTACCTTGTGTTAATATGTTCAATTAATAAATGCCAATCAAAGAAGATATTAGGCATATACTTAAATAATGTATTTGAGCATCTTTCTGTGTTCTTGCATGATTGTATATAGTATAACTTTAATAATTTCAACCAGGAACCAGCGATTGGGTCTTTTTTTGAAGATCATCGCCCCAAGAAAACACGATTCATTAAAGATACATTATAAGAGATTAGATAAAGTGCTGGCAGTTCTCACTATAATAGTTAAGAACTAGATAATGTAAAGGGAATTTGCTGAAAATTTCAATCATATTGATATGCTCTGAACCGAGAATTTAGTGATTTTATTTTAGGCCTAGCCTCGATCATCATTACTAAAGTCAATACGATATACAGCAGTCTTGATTATCCATTTAATCGTTAAATCGTGAAGGAAAGTTATGCAGTAAATTGGCTCATAATCCACTAAAGATCGCAGGCTAGCGATGCCATCTAGAGTTGATTATGGTCTGGATAAGTTAATTAATGTCTAATTAATACTTTAGAAAACATTTCAGACCTAAAGAAAGACCTGCAATTGGCAGATTTAGCTCTTGTATAATGTATGTTAAAGTAATTGGATTAAATAGATTATGATCGATTAATGAATGTTTATTATTTTTATAGGTTTAGCTGTGTTAACTAGTGTTATAGCATCTCAAGCTCCCAGTAGTATGTCCTGTAATTCAGTCGAAGCTTCTCCCAGGAAAAAACCTAGAAAACAGCTTTTGTAAGTCATTCTTTTCTTTTAGCAGGAATGGGGGTTTGGTGGCCAAATAGGTCTGTCATTGAGTCTAGTGGCGTTTTGATTTACCAGTTGTACTGTCCAACCTCGTAGTTTTCTCTCCGGGTCCTCCGGTTTCCCCCCACTGCTAAAGATCCCTACGCGCAAGCGAATTATTGAACTAGAATTTAACCATATGTTAGTCCAGAAATGAACTAGTTTGTGTCGAGTGGACGTTAAACCCCATTTCTCTTTGATTCTATATTGCATCTAACATCATCAGAGCACAATTCTATGGAATACAATTAGTGATTATTACTTTCAACTATGTTTCTCTTGTCTTTATGAAGCTATGATAAAATATATATGTAAAAACAATACCAACAAATTAATTAGCTGACAATGACTCGCTAATTACCTTAAAGGACACCACGATTAATTGATATATACTATTCAAAAAAAGTAGGGGATATTTGATTTTGGGGGCATAATACTAAAATATGCAAATGACTACGAAAAAAGTCACTATAGAACCTAACAGAAGAAACATTTCCAGTTACATGTGACGCCCAAACGCACCAATAGCTACCGCATGGAATGCAGGTGATGCTTGGGATCATCATGGGGGTCCAACCCAAGATTTGCACGACTCTGACTTTGAATGTTACAGTCATTGTGGCATTGAATTCCAGGGTGGAAACATCAGTTTAATTGTTTTAGTGACCAGAAAACAAATTTTGATATGCGTCGGCTTACCCAAAATGAAAGGTTACGTGCCCTTGGCATGCTACAGATCGGCACAACACAGGCGGTTGTGGCACGGACGATGAATGTTTCTCAGTCTGTCATAAGCAGGCTATGGTCCAGATACCGTGATACACAATCTGTACAGGACAGACCACGCTCAGGTCGACCAAGGGCGACAACTCAAGCCCATGATCGATTTATCCGTAGCTTGGCCTTGAGAAATCGTGTCATCACAGAAAATCAGATCAGCACTCGTCTTCAAACAGACACTGGTGTGAGAGTGAGTGGCCAGAAGATTCGGAATCGACTGCATAGGGGTCACCTTCGCGCCCGACGTCCTCGCGTGATCCCTTGTTTGAGAGATCATCACATTCAGGCAAGACGTCGTTGGTGTAGGGATCGTCAACACTGGGATAATCGACGCTGGAGCAATGTGATGTTTTCAGATGAGTCAAAGTTCACTGTTGATTTTTTGGACAGACGTAGGAGGGTGTGGCGTCGTCGAAACGAGCGCTTCCAAGACGTTAACGTCATCAGACATGATCGATTTGGGGGTGGTTCTGTTATGGTGTGGGGAGGCATCACTGTTGCTGGAAGAACGGCTTTACATGTTTTTGCAGGGCGTGTTACAGGCCAGTACTACCGGGACAACCTCTTGGCAGTCCATGTCGTGCCGTTCGCACGACGTCATGGCCGCCGTTTCATCTTCCAGGATGACAACGCAAGATGTCACAGGGCCAGGATCGTTACAGGTTACCTCCAACAACAGAACATCACCACATTACCTTGGCCAGCACTGAGTCCCGACCTCTCCCCCATCGGGCATGTCTGGGACATGCTTGGACAGAGGTTACGTCAACGTCAACAACGTCCTGCCAATGTCCAAGAACTTGCTGCTGCGTTGCAACAGGAATGGGACAATCTGGACCAAATTGACCTTAGACGTCTCATTAGGAGTATGCCACGTCGGATCAATGCTTGTTTGGCAAACAGAGGAGGATTTACCCGTTACTGACTTGGTTGTGATGCTTTGGTAACTTTGCTGTTTGACCCCGGGTATCATTTTACCCTTATAATGGTCAGTCTGTGCCTTACTTAGTCTAACGATCATTTGGAATAAATCGATGAATGTGAACTTCATTTCATTTTGTCATTTGTTTCTTCGTCAGTTTCATTAGGTGACTTTAATAACACTTAAAAATCAAATATCCCCTATTTTTTTTGAATAGTATATATGGACATGATCAGTGGTGATAACGATACAGAGTATTAAAAGATAATTAGTTTGATAATTGGATAATTTGTCTATTTTCTGACATGGTAACGAAGAATTAAAAGATAATTAGTTTGACATTTGGATAATTTGTTTATTTTCAGACATGCTAACGAAGAATTAAAAGATAATACATCATCAGATGATGAAGTTGAATGTTTAACTGAGATTAAAAAAGAAAAATTACCCAAATTTAGAGAAGAAAAAACAGGTATGTTTTGTTTGTTTTGTTTACAATTCAAAACTGATATGCTATTTAAATTTTGCCTCTTTCAATTTTATTTATTTGTAATATTAATCACAGAGTTTGTAAACGTTTTGTATCCTATTAACCGACCCTTGTTGCCTGAATGTCCGACATCTGAACCTAGACAAGTGAAGAAAACTAACCACTTGTATTGTGAGCACTACAACATGGCTTTCTTGGTTTATCTCCAATATTCTACCACTGTAACCACAACTTGAAATCCGGCCACTCATAGGATTAAGCTTATATGTCACTTAGGGCCTGACAAGGACAGCTGTCTATACGTTTGGATAGGACGAAAAGACAAGGTCCTGTGTACACATTGGCATTCATATAAAAGATCCCTTGACAGTTGGAATTCGATATAAGAATAGGCTGTAGTGCCGCTGTCTGGGCAAAATTTCCCTAATAGCACACTGTATGGTGTATCCCCGTCTTCATTAGCCTTGTTCGGAGCAGAACAGAAGGACTTAAACCACATTTCATTTCATTTATATGTCACTTAATTGTAATTCTGTCAGTTCGGAAAGTTATGAACTAAAAATCCAGCATCTCATTTGACGTCTCTCTTAGCAATATCTTTTAAAATTAAGAAAACTACTTATCTTTTAGTTTAGATTTCATATTCCCATATCCCTTAATTTGAATTATTTCAGATTTTGTAGATGAAGATGGAGTCCGATGGACGACAGACCGGTGTAAACCAAATATTTCTTTACTCAACTTTTATAATATTACGTGGAAAGCCAGAAATAATCATTTTCAAAAAGCAACTGATGTCAAACAAAAAGGTACGGTGATATTATAGATTTTTTATCCTATTTACTATTGGTTGTAACTGCCAGCTTTGTGCTATGGTTTATATGGGGGTTGAATGGCTGAATGGTTGCGCATGTGCGCTGTATCATAAAGGTCTGTCATTGAGTCAACTGGCATGATTTTGATTGCCCTCTTGTATGTGACAAGGAGTAGGGTCGTCTGTCCAACCTAGTGGGTTTTCTATGGGTCCTCCGGTTTCCTCCCACTGCTAAAGACCCCTATGCTCAAGCGAATTATTGAAATAAAATTGAGCCATATATAAGTCCCGAAATGGCCTAGTTTGTTTCGAGTGGACTTAAACTCTCTCTCTCTCTCTCTCTCTCTCTCTCTCTCTCTCTGATGGAACAAACTGTCCCCTACAAAGTTTTATTACCATATACATTCAAGGCATTAAACCTTTCTATTGTGTTATGTTATTGCACAGTTTATAATGATTGATATATTCTTTTAAATAGAGGAGAGAAGATTAACGGTGAATGAACTATCCAATCAAAAAGGTATATTACAGAAATCTAGCGGATGGAAGTTATATCATATGGCAGCTCAGTTAGAAGATCTGGTATGTTAAACTCTATATTTATAGATACATAGCCAGTTATAACTTCAGAAATGAAATGAAATGAAATGGGGTTTAACGTCATACTGTTCTGCTCCGAACTGCGCTAATGGAGGCGAGCATACGCCATACAGTGTGCTATGAGGGAAATTTTACCGAGTCAGCAGCACTACAGCCTACTCTTATATCAAATTCCAACTGTCAAGGGATATTTATCTACTCACCAATGTGTATATGGGACCTCGATTTTCCGTACCATCATAAAGACTAGACAGCTGTGCATGTCAGTAAATCAGTGCATTTAAATTTTTAATTCAGAGTCATTTATAATTTACATTTTTCAGAATATCTAATTTTTCACAACTTAATTGTCAAATCAAATCAGTGATAAATAATCTCATGACTTGATTTCATTTGGATTAAAATCAGGTCCATCCAGGATTTTACTTTTTCGATTTTAATGGATTTTTTTTTATTATTATTTTCAATTTTAATGAATTTTTTTTTTATTTTCAATTTTAATGGTTTTTTTTATTTTTGACCAGGTGGAGTTGGAGAAAGAATTATGTGATAGAGTGAGTAAATTTCAACAAATATTTGAACCCAAATTTACAAGTAATAAACTAGAAGAGGAATATAATATACCTTATGAAATGGCACAAGTAAGTTAAATATCAATTTCTTTCATTTATGGGGGTGGGGGAGGATGGCCGAATGGTTAGCACGTTTGCACTGTATCATAAGATCTTTCATTGGGTCGACTGGCATGGTTTAGAATCCCCGGTTGTATGTGACAAGGAGTAGGGTCAATTGTCCAACCTCCTCCGGTTTCCCCCCACTGCTAAAGACCCATACGCGCAAGCGAATTGTTGAAATAAAAAAATTAAACAAAATGTTGGTCCCGAAATGACCTTGTTTGTCGAGTGGACATTAAACCCCATTTCTGTCTCTCTCTCACTTAAATCAGCGAAATCGCTAATATTTAGGACCTAGAAATTGACACAGATGAGTCTGAACACATAAAATAATGTATTATGAATGAATATAAACTGATTTACAGTTTCTGTTTTTGATTGAATGGCAATCTCTAGCATCTGGTTATTCCAGTCTACACCAATAGTATTTATTGCGCATGCTCTTCAGATAAGAATATTACGTCGTCGTCACCGTTTGATTATGCCTAGCCTCGTTCTTCGAGTCCCTTGTTACAAATGGCACTGAAACGCAATATGGTACACGATACATGTACCAATGGTAAAATGTTTATTTTGTCTTATCAGAAGCCCATCTTTTCCCGGTAAGGTCACAACCAGTAGTTGTGCCTTTTGCTGATGGGCGCCACGGTGGCTAAGTGGGTAAGATGCTCTCTCGCTAGCTTGGAGGTCGCATGTTCGATCCCAGCATTGGCCGAGAAAGTTCATAGGGATTTTCCGGCATGGTTTTCCCATGTCAGTGGTGCAGGACGAAGGGCCTGACAAGGACAGCTGTCTACTCATTCTGATTATACGTAAAACTGAGATCCCATGTACACATTGGCGTGCACATAAAAGATCCTTTGGCATTTGTAATTCACACTGTATGGCATATGCCCGTCTTCATTAGCCCAGTTCGGAGCAGAACAGTAGGGCGTTAAACCCCATTTCATTTCATTTCTTTTTCTGATTAGACATGTCTTAGATTTAAAGTAACATGTCATTGACTTGAATCATTTTGTTATAAGTTTAGATCAGCTTGATTTCTTATTTTTCAGGCAAATATCCAGCGATGCCAGTTATTGGTTGATCAATTAACGGAAGCCAAGTCAGCCATGTTAAAAGTATTAGATCATAAACCAAAAATACAAGAAATCGTCAACAAACACATGAGCAAACGACCGATCAAAAAGAAAGAAAGAGCGTAGCATAGAATATCGGCAATATTTTATGCAAATTCATTTTGTAATTATAATGCATATTCATTTTTTTCATAGAATTCATTCATAATTATTTAACTTTTTATTTGACTTTATATGGTCAAAAAGTGCTTTATTCATTTCAGTAATTTATTCTCATTCTCGTGATTTTATAGTTGTTGAATTAAGGGCAAAACCATTCTCGGAAATATTGTCTTCTTACTATATATTCTCTGGAACATTGTCATTTCATGAAGAGTAATGAAGTAACCAAATAGGTTTTCTAACTATTTTCTGGAACTCTGAAATCTTATTGTTTCATGGAGAGTAATTAGTGAACCAAGTAGTTTTTTCTCACAATTTTCTGGAATTCTGGAACGTTGTCATTTCTCTGAATTTAATGAGGGAACCAAATAGTTGCAGAGCTTTGAAAAACAAAATATACCTAGCACTGCTGTAAAGGGCAAAAAAAAAAAGAAGGAAAAAACCTAACAGAGACAGAATTCTATTTAATCGAAAAATGAAACATTCCTCCTGTTACAGATGCCTACACTGACTCAAATGGCAAACCATACTAATATGTCTTCCATGTTCAAAAATCTTTCTCAAATTCATCGTTGTCCTCTTGTCAATCTGATAAAAAATACAGATCTATATTTCATTTCGTTTTAATTCTACTTTCGATGGCCTACACTACATGAAGATCTGACCAGTTGTAATGGTAGGTCGCGTCAGAGGTCATACGATTGTTGATGTTTCTAGTGGGTTGCCCACAGTTCCATGCAATTCATGCCAAAAACTCGCCATAACAGACCGTTTCATTGGTTAATCCCTCGCATCATCCAAAACATGGGTTGTATAACACGCCAAGAACTGGCTGCAACAGACTGTTTCATCAACTAATCCCTCACATCAACTAAAACACAGGTTATATAACAATTTTTCCAGATCCTAGTGTAGTAAAGACAAGTAGTAAAGACAAGTAAAACAAAATTTTGAACTATAAAAACGAAACGCAATAGGATTTGTGTTTTAATCAGTTTGTCCTCTTGTATTTCATTAAAAGGATAATTATGTTAGTCTAACAATCTGATAAAAACACGATCCTATTTCGCTTCGTTTTTTATAGTTCAAAATTTCGTTTTACTTGTCTAGGATCTGGAAGAGTTGTTATATAACCCACGTTCTGGTTGAAGTGAGTGATTAGCCAATGAAATGGTCTGTTACAGCGAGTTTTTGGCGTGCGATGCACAGAACTGTGGGTAAATCACTAGAAACATCAACACTGATTGATTAATCAATGTCTTAATGTCAAAGGGTCAAAAGCCGCTCGTACAACCCCTAACACAACCTTCGAGTACAACTTGTCAGATCTTCATGTAGTGTAAGCCATCGAAAGTATAAAAAACGAAATATAGATCTGTATTTTTATCAGATTGACACCAGAAATATGTAGATTTGTTTATGTATCCTGGTAGCAGCACTAAGTTTTTATTCAATCGCAAAACTGTGAATTATAAACATTAATTGATGAATGCTGGCATCAAATACATATGACATGTATAAGATATGTTCTCCACGGATTTTCCATGTTATTATTAATATACTGAAAGGCTGGAAATAACAAATCACCTTGCTTGATCCAAAGGGTTTTTCCCAACTAGAATTAATTTTCATTACTGTGAAAGTCTTTAGTGATAATTAGGTTTGAATGACTTAGGTACAGGTTTGAATGACTTGACTACAGGTTTGAATGACTTGACTACAGGTTTGAATGACTTGACTACAAGTTTGAATGACTTAAAATACAAGTTTGAATGACTTAAAATACAAGTTTGAATGACTTAAAATACAAGTTTAAATGACTTAAAATACAAGTTTGAATTATTTGACTACAAGTTAGAATAACTTGACTATGGCGTGACTACATGTTTGAATGACTTGGCTATACGTTTGAATGACTTAAATACAGATTTGAATGATTTTACTAAAGATTTGAATGACTTTACTACAAGTTTGAGTGAATATACTACATGTTTGAATGACTTACTCAAGGTTTGAATGACTTAACTACAACATTTAATGACTTTACTACAAGTTTGAATGACTACTACCATGATGAATGATTTTACATTATGTTTTAATGACTTTACAACAAGTTTTAATAATAATAATAATAATCCTCTATTTATATAGTGCAATAATACTTAAACAGAAGTTTCTATTGCACTTTAACAACTTGACTACAAGTTTTAAGGAATGAACTAAATGTTTCAATGAATGAACTACGGTTTTGAATGACTTTACTACAGGGTAAAAAGCAAGACCTTGAATGGTTGATTGAAGACTTTTATTATCCAACGAACCTGTGACCACGACCAATCTTGGTTATTTGTTATTTCAAGCCTTTTAGTTTTCCTATTACAAAGCGTTTGTGGTATGAAGGAAACACAGTCTCTAGACCGGTGCACATGTAACTGGATGCTGTGATTACATGGATATATGCTCAAGAGATTCCCTTTAACTCGTCTATATCAGATATTATAAAGCATGAAATTTATGGTGTGACAAGCAGGCCTGGAAATAACGGTTTTAGATGTACCTGACAAAATATCAGGCATTAATGAAATAGTACCGGACATTTTCAACTTAGTGCCAGACATGTATTAATATCAATAAAAAAGACAAATCAGTGCAGGACAAAATGACAGGCACCAGAGGTTTCGTGCCTGACAAAACCTGAATCTGTGCCTGACATTGTCTGTGACAGGTGCCTTATTTCCAGGCTTGGTAACAAGTACTGGACTGTTTAACATATAGGCAATCGAATATAAATGCTGATTAAAGGAACACCAGGCTGTTGGGGTAATTTTAAGAGCTCAAATTTTTCTTGATTATTTGAAAAAAAAAGCACTCTGAATACAACAGCTTATGGTTACAGAGCAATGCCCTGATCCGGCATTCCTATAACTCGATATTGGTATTCCAATGAGATTTTTTGTCAGTCTTCTGTTCCATGTTAAAATAATCCTTGCGTGGTCATTGTGTTTTTAATGTCAAAATAATATTATTTATTATTATAAAGGTCCCGTGTACCAAATATAGGCATCAAACTTTGATGTTATTAATAATATAAATGAAGTTGGCAATAAATATGTACTGAATATAAACTATTATAATTCCACAATATTCACATTTATAACCAATGAATTTAAAATTAAGAAAATTAAAACTTAGCCGAAATATGAGTGTTGTATAGGTCACTAAATGTTAAATTAAAAACACCACAAATTATATTTAGATTGAAACATAACAGACAGTCAAATTATAGGCATAAAAAGGTTTTTAGATTTGAGCTGAGTTGATAAAATGCTTGGACTGCAACTGCCATATGCAATCGGATTAGAATACAGATCTATATTTCGTTAACTTTTGATGGCTGCCACTCCTGGTGCAGTGAAGGCAAGTAAAGTTGATAAAATGCTTGGACTGCAACTGCCATATGCAATCGGATTAAAATAGAGATCCTGGTGCAGTGAAGGCAAGTAAAATAAAATTTTGAACTATTATAAAACAAAATGAAACTGGATCTTTGTTATAAGCTGTTATTTTTTTTCAGAAAAGCCTTGTTTTAAGTTTAAATAAATTTTTTGATTATGATGAAATACACCTATTATATGTTTCACTATTAGAAGATTATGCACAAATGAATTAATTATTCGATTAGATGTAAGATATTTAAGGAATCTGTTATTTTTGTGTGTTTTATACAATGTGTAAATATACAATATAATATAATGTTCATAATGTAAAATTAGAATGTACATAATATATGTTTTAACATAGAAACATTGTAAATATACTAATTACTTATTATATACACCTGTTTAGTTGTAGGGGGTCAAGGAGGCTAAGTGGGTAAGACGCTGGCTCGCTAGCCTGGAGGTTAGCTGTTCGGCCCCTGCATCGGCCCGGAAAGTACATCAGTATATTCCTCCTTATGGTTCCCCCTTGTCATTGATGCAGGACGAAGGGCCTGACAAGGACAGCTGTCTAGTCGTTCGGATGGGACGGAAAACTGAGGTCCCGTGTACACATTGGTGTTCACATAAAAGATCCCTTGACAGTTGGAATTCGATATAAGAGTAGACCGTGGTGTACCCCTTGTATGGCGTATGCCTGTCTTCATTAGCCCAGTTCGAAGCAGAACAGTAGGACGTTAAACCCCATTTCATTTTGTTTATGTGTATATTGTCAATGTTTTCAATCTCTTCTGGATCACCCTCGTACACTTAAAACCTACTACGCACCCCTTTGTAATTTGATGGAAATGATATAAATATGTGTATAATTATTTTATATGCCTTCTTGTAAACTATACACATGTGCTTTCGTTGACACGGATGTCAAAGCTGTCATTTTCAGTTAAGGATGTTCTTGAAATTGTGTTAAAATACAGATGTGACGTCATCTGTTGATGTTGGCGTACCATTATTTCAAATAACGGTATGGGCAATGTGCCAAGTGATATTATTTATACTAGTTAAAATTTTGGACCTGCGTGACATATTTCATTGCAAAGTACACGTGCGAGTGTCTGTATTTTAAGTTGTTTAATGGTCTCGAACTTCAGATATTGCGTAACAACACTTATACAGTTCAATATATTAATGTCTCGCTCTTGACCCTTAAACCATACGTATATACTGGATAGTGTCTGTATTTTAAGTTGTTTAATTATCCCGAGCTTAAGACATTGCATAATATATTGAAACAACACTCATTCAGTATCAATATATTACTTAATGTCTTCCGCTCGACCATTAAACCATAAACCATACTTAAAGAATATATCTAAATTATGGAAGGAATTAACTTTCTTTGTTAACTAATTAATTGGTGAGATGCACTTACACGGATAATTCTAATCGATGACCTGTTTCTTCACTGTGAAATCCTTTTGGCACCTTCCTATATTTAAAGTCTTTGAACATCATTTGACGGATTGTAAATCCTTTGCAAACTATAATATTTTAAAGTTGAATCTCTAAATGGAAAACCAGTCCAAAAATAGTTCAATTGAATTCATTAGTAGTCAACAGAAGCCAGTGCCACCTACGGTTAAAAAATCAATTTGAATTAAATGTTATATAATCAGTTGGAGTACATTTAGCATTGAATAAGTGGTGTGATTTTTGACCTATTTTTCTGAAAAGTGTATATGACAGAGATTTCAAGACATTAATTAATACATTCATGAAAGTTCATTAAAGGAATATGTCCAATTTATGTTTTGTGCGTTAGTTCCCTTCATCATTAGCAAAGTAATCTTTCAGAGAGAGGCGATTCTGTTAATCAGTGGTCTGCTTCCACAGTTAATTTGTTATTAATAGTGGTCTGATTAACAGATTGAACTATACTGTGGCATTAGTGTGTTGTATAAAACTATAGATAGTGTATATAATAGTATATGTATGTCGATAGAATTGTATAATATAAGTGTAGGATATTTCTACACAGCATTAAAACTACAAATATTATTTCATCTTGTCTGTTTTGTTTGTGTGTCATCAACTACAGAGAAATGGTTAGTTACTTTCGAAAATCGGGGGGGGGGGGGGGGGTGCCGTTGGATGGCCAAATGGTTAGCATGTGCGCTGTATCATAAGGTCTGTCATTGAGTCAACTGGCGTGGTTTCGATTCCCCAATTGTGTGTGACAAGGAGTAGGGTCACCTGTTAAACCTAGTGGGTTTTCTCCGGGTCCTCCAGTTTCCTCCAACCGACCCCTACGCACAAGTGAATTGTTGAAATGAATTTGAACCACGTGTTAGTCCCGAAATGACCTAGTTTGTGTGAAGTGGATGTTAAACACCGTCCCTCTCTCTTTTGCTTGTTTGGTAATTATTTTTTTCACAGGCGATTATTCGGAAGTCATGGTCTGTTGTAGGAGTTAAGACTAGAGAAGCCTGGTAGAAACGTTGTAATTGTATCCCATATAAATTGTTCTGTGTATAGACCAGAGAAGCCTAGTCAAAACGTGGTTTAGTAGTCGGCAGTAATTGTGAGCTGCATATGCTCAATGGGATACCTGACCAGTCTTTGGGATGGGATTAAGGTATGCGGTAAGATTTACAGTAAAAGTATCAATGAACTTTATAAAAACCAAACAAATTCTAATGGTTTTCTGATAATTACTTCATGAGTTGTTGCTCTTAATCAGATTTTAGTGTATTATAAATGTTTCATTACCGAAAAAAGTAAGTATATGCGACAACTGTTGTTGACTGCCCGGACGATTTAGCTGCTGAGGGCGTATGTTTCGTTGCCTGGCAACCTATCTTTTTCAGATCTGGACCTCTGTACTATCAAGATACGGGAGATTGCATGCTGTATTTCACTATTCGCAAATTATAAATGCAAAATTTGTACCGAACACAGCTAATAATCTAAATCAGAGGACTGGGCTTCAATCCTGATGTCCGAGAATTCCTGGATTCCCCCTTGTCGGTGGTGCCTAGTCGTTGCTGCATTGGCCGAGAAAGTTTATCCAGAATTTTCCGGCGTGATTCCCCCTTGTCGGTGATGCAGGACGGAGGGCCTGACAAGGACAGCTGTCTAGTCCTTCGGATGATACGAAAAACCGAGGTCCCGTGTATACATTGGAATGCACGTAAAAGATACCTTGGCAGTTGGAATTCGATGTAAGAGTAGGCAATAGTGCCGCTGCCCGGGCAAAATTTCCCTCATCGTACACTGTATGGCGTATGCCCGTCTTCATTAGCCCAGCATAGGAGCAGAACAGTAGGACATTAAACCACATTACATTTCATATCATTGGTGCAGGGTTAGTACAGAAAAGTTGGCCTTTAACCCTCATTTCATTCATTCAGTCCAAAATATCCCATAAAAAAAAACGCCACTAAATTCAAAAGAGTCTTTATATTAAATATTCGGTTATTTCGAAATACATAAAAACATATACATGGTTTATTTTACAGATTGCATTGACAGCATTGCTCATTTTTATTCATAATATTTATAGTTTTCTCAACTTTTACCTGAGTTATATGGAAATAAAAAAAACAATATTCTATCTTAACGATAATTTTATAATACATATATATCTAATGATGGTAAAAATATTCACATCAGTATATGTTAGAAAATAACAAAATATGCACTAGATAAAGTATTGAAAATAAAAAATGTCGGCTAACAATCGGATCGTAAATTGAAACAATGTGCTACACGTAACTTACAGGGGCATTATGGGAGATTAGATAAATAGCTGATAGTTCTCGCTATAAAAGTTACAAAATAGATAAAGTAAAGAGAATATGCTGAAAATTGCTCCATTCTGAACCGAGATATTAGTCGGCACAATAAATAACAAAGTCTCAATTATCCATTTTTACATTTAATTATTTTTCAAAAAATGTATTCCAATCCGCCAAAGATCGCAGGTTAGCAATGACATCAAGAGTTGATTATGGTCTGAATAAGTTAATTAATGTCTAATTAATAATTTAAATAACATTTCATTTAGCTCTTGCATAATGTATGTTTAACTATCCTTAATAATCAAGACAAGTGGAAAAGGTCTTCAACTTATCTTGAAATTTTTAACAAAATGTTCTTTATAATATAATATCTTCAACTTGGCTAATAATGCATTGATGTGTTTTGTATAGTAAGTGCCCTATTCTAGAGGTGGAGTTAGTACAGTGGTTCTCAACCTTTTTTTTGCCAATGGCAAACCTTGGAACACATGAAAAAAATAGCAGCACACCTAGCTAAATATATATGAAAAATATTTGAATTTTGCAAAATAAAAACATGCCAAGTCATAGAGGGCATTCAATCCTAGACACAGACTAGTCATAGACTCGAATGACTCAAACTAAATAGAAACACAGCTAGACACTAGTGAATACTCAGTTGGGATCACATGGTTTTGCACATTTTCTTAGTGTGACGTTAAAAATTTCGCTGCACACTTAGGAAGATCTGGTTGAGAATCCCTATGTTAGTAGTTGGTTCATTTCACTTCTTAAACAATATTCAACGTAACCAAAAATGCATGTTCTGTCTTCCATGTTCTTTTTAAAGTACTGAACACACTACATGTAGTTACGATACAGTACTAATAATATCTGTTGATCGGTCTTTCTTACGTCAGTTTCTATCTTTTCTTTTCTTAGGTTGCAGTAGAAATCAAAGCCAGGTTGGAGTCTTCATTAATTTATTGACAAGCTCACTGTGCCAACAACTTGTCATTTACTGGTATATAAAGCTCCTCTGATTTTGTCCAAATCTAGTAAGAGACTACCTGTGTATTTTCTTTATTAGCAACCACTTGCAATTAACAACAAGGTCTAACATACAACCTAACCGAAAGCTTTCGACCAGATTTCGATGGTAAAAACCCATAGCTGTTCAAATGTTACAGTCCTTAGAATTTAATGGTTCTGTCTGAGTGAACTTAACAAGAAATGATAATGAAACGAAGCGTTAATAATATACCAGATTATGTATACAGGGTCATTGCCATTTAAACCTAATGAGCGACATACATGTAGGTATGAATATTAGTTGGTTTTTTTATCAATCTATGATTTATCAAGTGGCGAGAATATAAACATTTCATTAATGTTGTGGTTATAATTATAATATGTCATTCAACAATCTCAAATATGCCCTTTTAAAGATATTAACATGATAACGAGTAATGCAACTACAGGTATTCAACAGGTAGAAAAATGTCATGCTTTATTTTAATGCAACATGTATATAGATCTCTATTTACATTTAAGTATTCTATATCACAGAATAGCTACACCTATCATATTCACAACTTTCAATCAATCAACAATTAAAATGAAAGTGGGAATTATCAAAAGAATCCAAATTTATGCATAAAGTAATAATTGCAATAATCAAGCTTTTATCATAAAGGTATAAATAAGCTTTTAATAAATAATATAAAGTTTGCATCAATTTAAAGGTGCTTTATCTTTCTGTGAATGTAAATAATTTAATACAGCTAATTTCATAAAAGTAGCCCAGTAGAAATATTGTAAATAACTAATCAGATACAACTTCTCGTAAACTCACATTTAACCTATATACTAGTATCACTCTTTTATTCAGTGGAACTAGATGACTACAATTAGTGTGAATAACACTGTTGACAATAGCCCTAAAAATGTTTCTTGAATTACATCTTCTCTATCTAATATTCACAACTAATAAAGATATGTTAACTGCTTCTCCCACACAAAACACACACGCATTATAATCAGTTATATCCCTTTTGTTCTTTTTTTTTTATTAATTCATTAATTAATTTGCTAGTTTCTTTTAAAATCCTAGAGGATGTCGTTGATAGAGTCCTCCATTGCTGACAACGTCTCGTGAAATTTGAGCAAGTTTATCATAATTTTTTAGATTTCCTGAATCTTTGATATCACTTAAATTTGTATTTATCCTGGTGGCAGCCTGTAAAACAGAAAAAAAAACAAAAAACAATTAGCATTTAGTATGGGAGAGTGACAAAAACTTGTTCATTCCAACACTAACACCATTATGTACAATTTTATTTCAATAAATGCTTGTGTTCTGTGTGTGGGTAGTTCTCTGGTTCACCTTGGATGACACGGATTAAAATGTATTGCATCTCAAAACCACATGTAAGAAGATAGGCCATGTTTTATTCAACCTCTGGAAGTACAAAAGATTCCACACACACATGGGAGATAACTCCCGAGGACTCCAATAAAAATCAAAAGGGGAGGGAACTGTTCAATGAAAGGTGGCATTACTCTATGACACTTGCATGTAGAGGACCCGGAAACAGGAGGACCCGGAGAAAACCCATGAGGTTGGACAGGGCGACCCTACAACCGAGGAATCAAAACCACACTCGTTGACACAATGACAGACCTTATGACAAAAGGCGCATACACTAACCATTTGGCTATCCAACCCCCCAGACTCTATAGCACTTCCCTAATTGGACTGTCCCTCGTTAAAGACATTATTTAACTCAAAATAATCATTTTATGTTCTCTTAAACATGAATTTGACTTTTTGATCCATGTTATTTTTTTTTTAATTACATGAGATGTGATATTCAACTCTCCCATTCAGTGGTAAAATAACTGATTTAACGATCAAATCACTTTTGAAAAAACAATGTATCTACCTCATCACACCAGATATTGGCAATGTCGGTTTCATGTTGGGCAGATGGATGTTTTTCACTTATACTTCTAGTTGTTCGCGATAATACACACACCATGGAGTAAATATCAATCGCTGAGTTAGCTAATCTGTTTAATAAAAACTGTTCATCTGAAAACATATAATAAAAAAACATTGAAATTAAAATGGATCCATTCAAACAATGTGAGTTCTGGGCCCGATTTCACAAAGCATTCTCAGACTTAAGTTCAGAATTTACTCAACTTTCAATCACTGTTAATGAGAAATACTTTTGATCCAGAAACACAAAAAATTGCACATAAATTTCAGTTTAAATTGGGCAAACAATTTTGAGTAAATTCTTAACTTAAGTCTGAGAATGTTTTGTGAAACCAGGACAGATGGTGAAATTTTATCAAAAAGAGAGAGAGAAATGGGATTTAACGTCCACTTAACACAGAATAGGTCATTTTGGGACTAACATATGGTTCAATTCTATTTTAAAAATTTGCTTGCGCCATATGTGTCTTTAGCAGTGAGAGGAAACTGTAGGACCCAGAGAAAACCCACAAGGTTGGACAGGCTACCCTACTCCTTGTCACGTACAACCGGGGAATCGAAACCACACCACTTAACTCACCCAAACTGACACAAACTACAATATTGTGAAAGTTGAATTTCTAAAAAATAATATCTTTCCCATAAAACAGGTACAAATATATCAATCTAATTAAAATACTGATCTATATTTCGTTCGTTTTTGTTTTTATACTTTCGATGGCCTACATTACAAGAAGATCTGACTAACTGTAGTGGGAGGTCGCATCAGGGGTCACACGAGCGGCTTTTGACCTTATGACGTCAGACATTTAATTAACCAATCAGCATTGATGTTTCTAGTTGGCTACCCACAGTTCCGTGCACTGCACGGCAAGAACTCGCCACAACAGACCATTTCATCGGCTAATCCCTCACATCAAATAGAACGCGGGTTATATAACAATTCTTCCAGATCCTAGTGTAGTAAAGACAAGTAAAACAAAATTTTGAACAATAAAATACGGAACGAAATAGGATATGTATTTTAATCAAATTGCAAATATGTATGATGAATTGAAAATTTCGCAAAAGACAAATCGTGATAATGCAGCATGAAATTGTATCTTTTTAATCCCTTGCAAACAACAATATTGTGAAAGATGAATCTGTTATTTAATTATTGTGCTAAGGCGTTACCAAAATATCTTGTATGAAAGAAAATTAAATTTCTTACCAATAATCTTTTTATTATACTTGATTAACAGGTACTCTACTGTGGCTCCAAATTCTTCAATAGCTTTAGATGCCTGAAGAACAAAACACAAAATACTGTAAATATTCTATTCATTTATAAACTAAACTAATTCAAATTATGGTTAATGGCAATAACTATAAATTATTTTGACAACCCAAATTTTATTTTGGAACTAATTAACTCAGTAAAACATGCATTCAGTTAACTTGTGTCTTTTTTAACAAGTTTTCTAGCTTTTGTCCTGAGCTCAATATTTGATAAACTACACTTTTATGGACATAGTTATTTCATAAGAAGTTATTCAGCAGAACTTCAGGAGAAGTCTACAACGTATATCACACGCGTAATGCATACTGTCTCTACAAATTTCTCCCCCTAGGTAACAATCTAAACTGTCTCTTAGGACTTGTATTTTTAATACAAATAGATTTATTAACAAATGTAATGAGTACCATTTATCCTAACTTGCTCTTATTCTTCATCAGAATTACTTGGTAAAGCATTAATAATAGAATCTTTAAATTTTTTAAGATTGGCTTTGAAAAGCCAACAAGTTAAATGTATTTAGTCATTTGGATTGGATGAAAAACTGAGGTCATGTGTATAAATTGTAGTGCATGTAACAGAACCCTTGACACTTGAATATAGAAAATATAAAAAGAGAGAAATGCTGCTGTCCCAAGTACAATTCTTCCCTCTTGTATTACACACCGAAACATTGAAATAAAAGTATTATATGTTAGTCTCAAAATGACCAAAATATTGTGTTGATGAACGAGTATTTGTGGAGTTCCTATGGTAAGAGCATGCAGTATAGATAAAGAAGTTAAATATAGTAACATACCTTGGTAGCAGAATCGGAGAGTTCTGGTGCTACATACTGTGTTAAAGATTCACCAGTACTCATACCAACCATTCTATAATAAATTAAAAACAAAATTTATACAAACTATAAATAATGTAGTATTTAAATTCTACACCAACTACAGTAACCTACTGGTTCTTATTTTACACAGGGTTGCATGTCAAACCTCGTGGGTTTTCTCCAGGTCCTCCGTCTCCTTCCACTACTAAAGATCCCTATACACAAGCAAATTATTGTAATAAAATTGAACCACATGTTCTTCCACTGCTAGAGACCCCTGCTCACAAGCGAATTATTGTAATAAAATTGAACCATATGTTCGTCGCCGAAATGAAGTAGTTTGTGTCGAGTGGATGTTAAACCCTTTCTCTTGCTCTCTCTAACGTCCACTCAACACAAACTAGGTCATTTTGGGACTAACATATGGTTCAATTTTATTTCAATAATTCGCTTGCGCGTAGGGGCCTTTAGTAGTTGGAGGAAACTGGAGAACCCGGAGAAAACCCACGAGGTTGGACAGGCGACCCAACTCCTTGTCACATACAACCGGGGAATCAAAACCACGCCAGTTGACTCAATGTCAGACCTGATGATACAGCGTGCACAGTCCTGATATCTAGCAATTTTTATCACGTAACAGTTTTTTTACCTCATGGCTCTCTTGGATCCAGCACCAAAGATCAGACCAAGATTAGCTGCAGGATTCTTCATTGCTTTCTGTAATTCTTTTAATGAACTTCCAGCATACTAAAAAATTAAAATAATACCAAATGGAAATAATAGGTATCTTTGAATAAGAATTAATTTCGACATGAAGTATTTTCATGATAATTCAATATTAACCAAGACATTGTTAAAGGTGTGGTATTCTTACATTTTATCGTCTGATTTACATACTTTAGCATACAGTGTTCCTTATACTTCAACGAACCTCCACATGCAAAATGAAATGAAATGGGGTTTAACGTCCTACTGATCTGCTTCAACTGGGGTAATGAAGATGGGCATATGCCATACAGTGTGCTAGAAGGGAAATTTTGCCCGGGCAGTGGCACTATGGCCTACTTTTATATCAAATTCCAACTGCCATGAGATTTTTAACGTACACATCAATACAGAACCTCGGTTTTTCATCCCATCCAAAGGACTAGACAGCTGGTCTTGTCAGGCCCTCCTTCCTGCACCACTTACAAGGGGAAACCACGTCAGACAATCCTGATGAACTTTCTCGACCAATGCAGGGATAACACGTGACCTCCAGACTAGCAAGCCAGCATCTTACCCACTTCCTGTCTTTATTAGCCCAGTCTGAGCAGAACAGTAGGACGTTAAATCCCATTTTCATTTTCATACCCAGTTATCCACTGTGGCTCCCTCCTGCACATGCATGTGCATTAATTAAAAATTACCCTGTTATTGTTATTCATGAAATGATCCAGGCTATGTTTTTAATGGAATATCATATTTTCATAAAGTTTAAACTTACCTGAATTCCTGTTAATGAGACAAATAATCTTAGAATATCGTTGGTTCCCTCAAAAATACGGAAAATACGAATATCCCTCATAACACGCTCTAAACCACATTCCTGAAAAATTGTGATTAAAATAACTAATAAGTTAAAATATGTACTAAATATATCATTTCAAAAGGAAGATCTTTGAAAAAAATTAACTGAAATAATCTTTATTTTAGTGAGAGCAGAACCTATAACTCCTATTTTAGACAGTGTTAATTTGTATTTAATTTTATGAAGGTTACTGATGGTATTGGAATGATAGTATTTTTTAACTGACTGTAGGTCAACTTTTGTGTCGTACATTGGACTTAATAAAGATAAAATATGAGCGGCTCCCACAAAACCAGACTCTTGGTCATTTTTATAAAAATTGAGCTGGCAGCATATTTGAATAGTCCACAGCCTAAGCTTTCCAAAAATGCAATTCTTTTTAGTTGTGCGACAAGAGCCTGGTTTTGTGTGAACGGGTCACAAATTTAGGTCAAGTTTCAGGTATCAGTATCATTCAATTTACCTTCATGTAGCCCATACCACCAAGAATCTGAATAGCTTCATCAGCACAGAACCAAGCAGCTTCCTGAAAACAAACAAATACTATGAAAATACACGATTATACAATGAATGAATGAAATGTTTTATGGCACATCAGCTCCAACAGGGCTATATTGCGCCAAACGCGATCATACCATCTAGCAACAATTAATTTACTTACTGAGATTCGTCAAATTACAATATATTGGTATTTTCAATCAAGATGAACGAGAGAGAGAAATGGGGTTTAACATCCACTCAACACGAACTAGGTCATTTCGGGACTAACACATGGTTCAATTTTATTTCAATAATTCGCTTGCACGTAGGGGTCTTTAGCAGTGGGAGGAAACCGTAGAACTCGGAGAAACCCCACAAGGTTGGACAGGCGACCCTACTCCTTGTCACGTACAACCGGGGAATCGAAACCCCACCAGGTGACTCAATGACAGACCTTATGATACAGCGTGCACATGCTAACCATTCGGCCATCCCACACCCACCCACCCACCCCGCTGGAGATCAAAGTGGATATAACTTTTACATAGTCCAGTATTTTAGTATTTATGTGCCAGATTTCATGATTTTAAATGCCAGAATTGTCCACGAAATAATTTATAAAGATTAAAAGATAAAAGGAGTAGAAGACAAACAAAACTCTCGTAAGGTGAGATCTAGGATAGCTTGAGACTAGTGATTGGGGGACATCTATACCGGGATCTCAGCAATACATAAGGGATTCAGAAAGACAACGATATATAACGAGATGCAACCCCTATAACCAGTTTAGATTAGATGAACTCCATGGTTAGAATAAACAGGTTTATTGATTAGATGTTACGGACAAAAGGTGTCCATCTTCAGATTACTTACTGAAGCAAATACTTTACTGATAGCAGCTTCAATCTGAAATTCTGTTGATCCTTGATCCATGTTACCAGATATCATATAAGCCATACACTGAAACATATATTATACATTTAACAAACCAACCTCACCATAAACATCTCAGTATAAGTAATAGACAAAATTTGTTAAAATGTAAATTTAAATGCATTAAATGCTAAAATGATTAAAGGGCGTATGGCTTTATTTTTTTGGAACCACAAATGGTTCTAACAGCACATATTAATGTAATATGAGTGTATATATAAAGTGATTTATATTCAATTTTTCTGATCAATTATGTTTGGTGAAATACGCGAACAGTCCAAATTGAACAACAATCGTTTGCGCCTATATTAACCCATTCTTCAAGGATTCTTTTTATTATTATTTTATTATTTGTGAATCAGCCATTACTATTTACTGCCGCATTGTAATTTAGGATATGTTTTTCTTTGTTCGTTGGTTTTGCGCCTGAAACGATATGGTACACGACTCGTGTACCATATTTTAAAACGTTCATTGTGTCTTAAATATTGGATATTAGGACTAATATTGAATTCTGATTTCTGTTTTTAATTTCAAATATTATGGAAAATATTGAGTTAAGAGACTTAACTCCTTTAACACGAGTACTTACAGCTCTAAGTTAACATCAGGTTGTTTGTCTAATTTTAACTAAAATATAGCCCTTTATAAAACTGTTGTTGTTTTAATGTATCAAATACATCAATAAGAAACTATGTGCAAAGTTTTGTGTTTCTGGATCAATGATATTTCTCATAAACGGTGGTTGAAAGTCGAGTAAATTTTTAAGTCTGAGAATGCTTTGAGAACTCAGGGCCAGATGTGATAAATTCTAGTTCCTTAGAGTTTGGTATGCTTTAACACAGGTGAACAGAACAGAAAATATTTACAATATTACAATATGGCTAGTAATGTTGACAAAGGACTGGATAAACATACCTCGGTAACATATTGTAACATGGTCATTCTAGCTATCTTCTCTTGTATAGAACCAAATGAATCTATTTTCTGTCCAAACTGAGTTCTTGTAGATGCATGTTCAATCTATAAATAAAACATTATATCAAATTTAACACAATGTTGATACTAATAACAACCTTGATCAACATCTAGATTACCAAAACAATTAAAGATGCATTATGTAGATTAGAACACAGCAGCGATTCAAGAGTTTAATGATCAAATACGTAATCCAGAGTTAGTCTCAATTGTCAAGTACTGTTGCTACGATAATAAACTACCTACACTATATTTTGTCAAAACTTCAAACAAAATAAAGAAACTTGACTAAAAGTTCCAATATATTCATTTTTCATAATCTGTTTTTAAACTATTATAGCAAGAGAGAGGGAGAAATGGGGTTTAACGTCCACTCGACACAAACAAGGTCATTTCGGGACTAACATATGGTTTTTAATTTTATTTACATAATTCGCTTGCGCATAGGGATCTTTAGCAGTGGGGGGAAACCGGAGGACCCGGAGAAAACCCACAAGGTTGGACAGGCAACCCTACTCCTTGTCACATACATCCGGGGATTCGAAACCACTCCAGTCGACTCAATGATATTGCCTTACAATCTGATTAAAATACAGATCTATATTTTGTTCCGTTTTTTTACACCTTCAATGAATTCTACTACATGAAGATCTGACCAGTTGTAGTGGAAGGTCGCGCCAGGGGTCATACGAGCGGCTTTTGACCACATGACATCAGACATATGATTAACCAATCAGCGTTAATGTTTCTAGTGGAATACCAAGAGTTCCCTGCATCGCACGCCAAGAAGTCACTGCAACAGACCATTTCATTGGCTGATCTCCAACATCAACAAGAACGCAGGTTATATAACAAATCTTCCAGATCCTAGTGTAGTAAAGGCAAGTAACCCATAATTTTAAAGGATAAAAAACGAAACGAAATAGGATCTGTGTTTTAATCAGATTGATTGCTGTAATATATAACAAGAAATAACTTACAGATTTCTGTATACAATATTTCATGGTACCAGATAGAGCAGCAGCCATACCAAATCTACCATTATTTAATATATTCATAGCTACTTTAAACCCACCTCCTTCACCTAAAATATTCATTATTCATTACATAAATCAAAAATATGAGGAACATCTTAGCTCCTGCTTCATAGGAATAAATATTGCAACGGCCTGAGAAATCCATCGCTGGCCATTGCTGGATTGACTTCTGATACTTGAGCTTTTGAGGGAGTGTGTCTATTCTTCCCGTTCAATCAAATCTATCCCAAGTACAGCAAGATGACAGCCCTTTGTTTAAACTGGGGTCTTCCCTAAAACTTTGGACAGTGATTTAAGGTATTAAAAAGTATTGTTCGTCTCTAAACAGTATTGTTTACATTGTAGCCGTTTTGATAGCCTCGTTTGTCATGCAATTAGTTTTCTGCAATATTCTGCTATGCACTGGCTAAATTTCATGAGTCATGACGTAACGTTATGTAAACATATTTTGAACTCTGTTTAAACCTGAATGATATTGTTACACAGTTAGGTATAGGTTGTTAATCAGACTATTGACCAGTCATAATTTGGAACAGAAATTTGCTTCCATTACAGCAGTGTTTAGTGGGATTAGGTCTAATCAAATGAAACACTGCAAGGAGTATGCTGCTTCATAGGAATAAATATTGTTTTTGACAGGTATAAAAGTTAAAGCCATACTCACCAGCTAGAACATTATCTACTGGAATCTTAACGTCTTCGAAATAAACCTCAGCTGTATTCGAGGCTTTTATACCCATCTTTTTCTCTGGTGGACCACTAAAATTATAAAATAAATTCAATAAATTCAGTGTGTCCTCTTAGTGTTGGTATTAATATAATGGTAGTTACTTAAGTAACAGATTCTTATCAGCTCTGGTCTCTATCCGTTACTAGCAGATCCTATACACAACTAATATAAAAATAAGGCTTTCCTCCCCCATCTCAGTTCTAAGGCTATTTTTGAATCCTTATAGTCTAATTTTTACTGTGATTCTTCTTTGTTCGCCAAAAGGAATCATTTCCTGCCACATCCGAAACAAAATTATAATAATCCAACACTATTCTCAATACAATAACTTTGGATCTGTATAAACATTGTCAGGTCGTAAGAATATTTTGATATAATATTGGAATAACGAAACAATACCTAGTAACACCACCAAATGATCGTTCTACAATAAACGCTGTCACTTTATCTTTAGTTTCACCTGTTTTAGCATCTTTCACTGGGGTCTGTAATAAAATAATACAAACAAAATATAACTAACAACAATTTTCAATATCTATTAAATTAATCAAAAATATGAGGAATATCTGATCTTAAAGGAGCTAAATCGCTAATATTTGGGACCTAGAAATTAGCACAAATGGGTCGCAATGCAAATAATAATGCAAAATAAATGTATATAAACTGATTAACATTCAGTTGTTTCTGTTTTCACTATAATTTCTAATCAGTTATGTTCGGCGAAATATGCCAGAAGTCTTAATCGAATGGTTATCTCTAGCATCTGGTTTTTCCACTACACCGATAGTATTTATTGCACATGGCATCACCATTTGACATGACTTGTGGAATATGTCTAGCCTCATTCTTCTAGTCACTTGTTACAAATGGAGCTGAAACGCCTTATGGTACACGATTCGTGTACCAATCGTAAAATGTTTATTTTGTCTTAAATATTGGATATCAGAAGCCCATCTTTTCCCGGTAAGATCACAACATCAATGTTGATTTAAATTGACAAATAATTTGTGTTTTCAATGTCGAAGACTTTGGATGATATTGAGACTCAGCTTTTTTAATCCTTTTACGGAAACAAGAGATACTGTTGCAGCTCCTGCTTTATAAGAGTAATAAAACCATAAGACTACAAGAACCTAGATTTTTTGTAAGATATATGAAAAGTTAGCTTTTTAAAACATAATCACTACTCATGTAATACTTTATCATCAATATCTATGAAAAGTGAAATCTATATGAAATGATTATGGTCTAAATTATCAATCTAAAAGCCAAAAAGTCCTTTAAGTTTGCTTGTAAAAAAACACAAAACAATTACCAAATACAGCCAAATAACCAATTTCTTTTTTACCTGAGCAAAGACAGTGAATATTTCTGATAAACCGCCGTTACTGATCCAGATCTTGGAACCATTTAAAATATAATGTTTACCATCGTCTGATAATACAGCTCGGCATCTAATTGACTACAAATATAATATACAGGTGTTTATATAAATACTGTACACAAAATATAATATTCATTTAAAGAGAGAGGGAGAGAAATGGGGTTCAATAACCCAAACTAGGTCATTTTGGGACTAACATATGGTTCAATTTTATTTAAATAATTCTTTAGCAGTGGGAGGAAACCGGAGGACCCAGAGAAAACCCACAATGTTGAGCAGGCAACCCTACTCCTTGTCACGTACAACCAGGGAATCGAAAACAACGCCAGTTGATTCAATGACAGACTTTATGATGCAGCGCACACGTGCTAACCATTCGGCCATCCACACCCCCCTATTCATTTAAAGATATATTCCTCAAGATTAATATTTGAACCCCCAAAACTTAAAATATAAGCCTGCAATAAATGTAATAACAATAAAATTTGTATATGTTAATTGGTAAAATGGCAGCCATTTTCATACAGCAGAATTAAGTTATGCACCTCAAATTTACCAGTTTTATTTTCTGATACTAAAATATGTCTATACTTGTTTAATTTGAAGACTTTTTAACCTTAGTCCATAGATAAGTTTAGGGAGCCACGGTGGCCAAGTGGGTAGGACACTGGCTCGCTAGCCTGGATGTTGTTCGATCCCTGCATTGGCCAAGAAAGTTCATCAGGATTTTCCAGTGTGGTTACCCCCTTGTCAGTGATGGAGGACGGAGGGCCTGACATGGACAGCTGTCCAGTCATTCGGATGGGATGAAAAACTAAGGTTTCGTGTATACCTTGGCATGCTCGTAAAAGGTTCTGTGGCAATTGAAATTTGATATAAGAGTAGGCTATAGTGCCGTTGCCAGGGCAAAATTTCCCTCATTGCACACTACTGTATGGCATATGCTTATCTTCATTAGCAGAACAATAGGACATTAAACCCCATTTTCATTTCATTTCAGGTAAGTTTATGTGGGGTGTAAAACAAATCATTTTCAACTATGCTACTGAATCGAAATTCGCATATTTAAAAAAATATTTTAAAAATATTATCAGAAAAATTTAGCACTTACACTGGCATCAGATCCACTCTGTGGTTCAGTTAAACAAAAACAAGCCATAGTTTCTCCTGAAGCTAGTTTGGGTAAATATTTTGCTTTCTGTTCTGGCGAACCAAACAATAAAATACCTTTGAAGCCAATAGACTGAAACATACATAACCATGAACAATACAATTTCGATATTAAGAACAGAACTTTAATCCAGGCGATCACTTGCTCTAACGTAAACCCAAATAGATTTAATCGCTCACCTGAATTATGGGAGAGAGAGAGAGAAATGGGGTTTAACATCCACTTGACACAAACTTGGTCATTTTGGGACTAACGCATGGTTCAATTTTATTTCAATAATTCGTTTGCGCGTAGGGGTCTTTAACAGTGGGAGGAAACCGGAGGACCCAGAGAAAATCCACAAGGTTTGACAGGCGACCCTACCCCTTGTCACATACAACCGGGGAATCGAAACCACGCCAGTTGACTCAATGACAGACCTTCTGATATTGTGCGCATGTACTAACCATTCCGCCATCCAAACCCCACCTTGTAATCCCAATATACAACCAAAGAGATCATATTTCAGTAATTATTATTTCATATCAACAATTGCATCTGAAGCAGGGCTTTCTCTTCAAGTTTTACATAGAAAATTATCACTCAACACAAACTTGTCACGTACAAGCGGGAAATCGAAACTACAGCAGTTGATTCAATGACAGACCTTATGATTCAACGAGTACACGTTAACCATTCAGCAATCCACCCCACTGTTTGAGTCATACCAGTGAACTATAAACACTGTTTCTGAATCAAAGAGCTGAAGAATCCTGTGCCATGAACATACTGTTTGCATGGAATGAGTTCAGCTTAAAGATTCATCATTATCATTGCAGTATTTATAACATACCTGATGGGCACCAAGAGTAATACCAACACCTAAATCATGTGCACCAACAATTTCTACTAATCTAGCATACTGTGTATTACATAAACCAAGTCCACCTGTTTTAATACAAACACAAGAAATTAATAAAAACTTATTGGATATTTAATAATACTGATATAAATATCACTGTAAGTAGGGTAACATTTAATCTTGTGTTATCTACCACTAATTTCTTTCACATTCATTGTCATATCTTTTTTTAAAAATTTGTAAAAATGGTTCAATTTTCTTTCAATAATTCACTTATGCGTAGGAGTCTATAGCAGTGGGAGGAAACCTGAGAACACCCACGTGGTTGGACAGGTGAAACAAGGCTACTTGACTCAATAACAAACCTTAAAATCTAAACTGCATGCATTTGACCGCTAGACCACCCAATGCCCAAACAACCTATTGAGAGAGAGAGAGAAATGGGGTTTAACGTCCACTCGACACAAACTAGGTCATTTCGGGACTAACATATGGTTTAATTTTATTTCAATAATTCGCTTGCGCGTAGGGGTCTTTAGCAGTGGGAGGAAACCGGAGGACCCGGAGAAAACCCACGAGGTTGGACGGGCGACCCTACTCCTAAACAACCTATTGATTGGGGTAGTAATTGTATTGTAGTGTGAACATACCTAGATCCTGTGGAACTTGTAAACCAAAAGCTCCCATTGCTTTTAATCCTTCCATCGATACATCATCAACCTTCTCTATAGAATCATTTTTTAACGCATCATTTTGTTCCTGAAATAATCAAACATATTAATGATACAATATGGGAGATAAGATAAAGAAATGAAATGAAATGGGGTTTAACGTCCTACTGTTCTGCTCCTAAACTGGGCTAATGAAGACGGGCATATACGCCATACAGTGTGCTATGAGGGAAATTTTGCACGTCAATGTGTACACGGGACCTCGGTTTTTCGTCCCATCCGAACGACTAGACAGCTGTCCTTGTCAGGCCCTCCGTCCTGCATCACTGACAAGGGGAAACCACACCGGAAAATCTGGATGAACTTTCTCGGCCATTGCAGGGATCGAACACCCGACTTCCAGGCTAGCGAGCCAGCGTCTTACCCACTTAGCCATGTGATCCCCCATTAGATAAAGTGCTGGCAGTTCTCACTATAATAGTTAAGAACTAGATAATGTACAGGGAATTTGCTTTCAGTCAAATTGATCCATTCTGAACCGAGAATTTAGTGATTAAATTTTTGGCCTAGTAGGTACAATAAAAAACATAGTCTCGATTATCCATTTTTTTAATTTAATCATGAATGAGCGTCGAGCAGCAGATCGGATCCTAATCCAGTAAATATTGCAGGCTAGCGATGACATCTAGAGTTGATTATGTCCTGGATAGGTTAATTAATGTCTAATTAATAATTTAGATAACATGTCAGGCCTAAAGAAAGACCTGCAATAGGCAGATTTAGCTCTTGCATAATGTACAACCGGTGGATCGAAACCATGCCAGTTGACTCAATGACAGGCCTTATGAAACAGCGTGCACATGCAAACCATTCGGCCATCCAACACCCCACACATCCAATTGGTGTTAACGTCAATAGTAAATTCCCTAATCAAAATATTTACACGTAACTGATTTATATGAACTGTACATATTGCAATTGTATTTTGTATTATAATTATCAATAAGCAGACAAATTAATATAAGCCATTGGCTTGTTTTTTAATCTTACATTTTTGACAATGTATGCATCATAGATCTTATCTGAATACAATATTGTTCAAATCAAATGATTCCAACAGAAAAATATTTTGTCTCACCTCGAAAAATTTAGCAACAGGGTCAACCAATTCACGAAGGAACTGTCTTTGATCTTCATTTAAAACTGAAAATAATTTTAAAGATGAATTTTATTTTCTCATAATCATGTTATTGTTTGGTCCTGTGAATGATTCTGAGAAAACAAGATAATAAACCGTGAGGCTGTTGCCTAAAGCCCAAAATAAATAGATGACACTAATTACTTTTGTACATTATCTTTTTGTAAAGTGTTAAGAAATCGAATGACTTAAAGTAGCTAAGTCTCTAACTCAATATCATCCAAAGTCTTTGGCAGAGAAAATTCCCTGGGAGTCCACTGTATTTGTTGTTGCAGTCTCACAGTCACATTTGTGTGACAAGCATAAGATCCGTAGTGGGACTCATTATATTACAAATATTTTACCCAAAACAAATTACCTTCAGGAAATGGAAATACTTGATCTGTGGCTATCTGACCTCGAAATAAATTCATACCAAAAGATTTTGTTTCCTGAAGAAAAGAAAATCCTGGTATACATTGTCCATGGATGATAATCATGTTCAAATTAATTGGACAATAGATTCTTTCAACCAGTTGTTAATAAATTTTAAATACATTCATAATGGAGTGTTAATTCTTTGGGCTGTAAGCTCCAGTGATTGTAACTTAAAGGGGAAGACCAACGATTTTCAATAAGGTTTCCATAAATAATAAATATATATTTAGAAATAATCCCTCCTATAACATATGCAAATAAGAATTTGCAAGCGAGAAATTAATTTTTATTGATACCGGAAGTGACGTAGTTGGTTCGACACGCTCACTGGTCACTATAGTGAACATACAAATTTGAAGTAAGTTTAGCGCTGTATTTTGTGATCGTTTCGCCGTTTGGCAGAAAATCTGATGAAAGGTAATCTTTATTAGGATATTAAGAACAAGAACTTACGGTGTTTTGAAGGTATAATATACAACGCGTTTGTGTAAATTAATTTTTTAAACTGGACACTGTGACACAATTTAAGCCACATGGCTAATTGTTTACATCACGTGATAGCTGGCACGTGACAGATATTAACCAAACACAAATTGGCGACCTATTCGGCTAGGGACCTATTCGACCGATCCAGCTGGCAACCTGTTCGTTGGCAACCTATTCAGAATGAGAGTGCACCCCTTTAATATGATTGTGCCAACTTTAACTAATAATATTTCGAAAGCTTATTTAATCAGCTTTCGGAATATATTTAGTTGGATGTCCAGAATTTTGTAAGATAATGCGAAATTACATCTCTATTCTCAGCTAAAGGAATGGATAAATGATAATATATTCTACTTTCATTTGATAGACGTTACGTTGGATTTTATTGGTTGATAAAAATAGATGAGTTTGGGCGACTGTTGAATTTATTCTGAATAGGTTGCCAACGAACAGGTTGCCAGCTGGATCGGTCGAATAGGTCGCTAGCCGAATAGGTCGCCAATTTGTGTTCGGTTAATATCTGTCACGTGCCAGCTATCACGTGATGTAAACAATTAGCCATGTGGCTTAAATTGTGTCACAGTGTCCGGTTTAGAAACTTAATTTACACAAACGCGTTGTATATTATACTTTCAAAACACCGTAAGTTCTTGTTCTTAATATCCTAATAAAGATTACCTTTCATCAGATTTTCTGCCAAACGGCGAAACGATCACAAAATACAGCGCTAAACTTACTTCAAATTTGTATGTTCACTATAGTGACCAGTGAGCGTGTCGAACCAACTACGTCACTTCCGGTATCAATAAAAATTAATTTCTCGCTTACAAATTATTTTTTGCATATGTTATAGGAGGGATTATTTCTAAATATATATTTATTATTTATGGAAACCTTATTGAAAATCGTTGGTCTTCCCCTTTAACTAATGACCCTGACTTTCTGTTCTTAATCACATTTCTTTCTAGCTTGTTTCTTATGATATCAGATTTTAATATTTCAAACAAGTGAAACTTTAACAGAAGAAAGAGCACATTGTTTCAAAAATATAAGATGGAAGCTTGACAAAAAAAAAAAAGTTTTTGATTAAAAAAAAAAAAGAGTTGAAATCAAATATTAATGAGACCCAATGAAAGTCTGAATACTTCCTAAAATTCATGCAAGCTTATAATTATGCAATCAACTCATTGGCCTGTATAAAAGCTGATAATGCAAGCTTATAATTATGCAATCAACTCATTGGCCTGTATAAAAGCTGACCTTTAATTTGACATATCATAACCTGCTTTTTATTACTATTAGTAGGTACATTGTATGTCAGCCAGCTAGTCATTCATTAACAATTCAGTCAAGCGGAACGGGTTCCTCAAAGACAAGATTAATGTATTAGCCTATATTTACATGTAATTAAGGATATGAACTTTAGACTTTTTATAAAAAGGGTACAGTTCACAAAACGTTATCTCCTGTCACAATTGATATATAGGCACTGTAACTCATTGAATTTAGGCTAATAAGAATCAGTCTTTAAAGGCTAATCCCAAATAATTGTACCATTATTTTGCATAAACTTTAGATAAACAATTTCTAAATGTTGAGAGGATACAATTCTTTTTTTTTTATGTCTCTTAACATGTTGACATTAAACATAATTATATATATATTTTCTTTTTTTTTATAAAAACCAACTGTCAGATATTTTCACTATCCTCACCTTGTCAGTGCTTGCATAACGCTTGGAATTCACCAAACTGCTGCAAATGCTGTAAAAATGAACATAATAATCAATACAAAGTGCAGCATAATAATGTTAGTCAACTTAGAAGAATAAGTGACTTTTTATTTGGTTTGAATAATTTGATTCAAATGGATTCACGCATGGTTTCAGTTTCATAACATCATTTTATGTAGTTGAATAATGAAAGAGTCCAAAGTCCACAATTTATTGTTAGCGACTTTTGTCGAGTTGTTTACGTTCATGTTTTCAATGAAACATTGAATTGATACAATCCATATTTACCCAGTAATTCGATGTTGATTTTCTCTACCAGCAATCGTAACCAGCTTCGATAAAACTTTGACTGACCGCAACATTTTGAAGGTGTTTATTGCCAAAACGTAGCAACACTCTGGAGTCTAACTTTCTTCTGTCTTCTGCTTGACCTTAGGGGTTACTACGCACGCGCATTTCTGGTCAGTTTCGTACAAAAAAATGGACTAAAACAAAAAATGTTAATTTGTTCTCGTATCTTAGAAAATGGGTAGCCAAAAACATAAATTGAATGGGAAATAAAAATCACCAGATTCTACCTTGATTGGCATATTAATGAGTAAATGTTATAACGTCTATTTTGATAAGGCCAACTTCAATTTTGGTCAAACGTCACGAGATGTAAGCAGGGCTAGCGCTAATCCCAGCCCTATCCCCATCCCTAACCCTGGACCTAGCCCTAATGCTTACCCTAACCTACAATCTCGCCAACAATTAGGTGCCCTAACCTTATTTACATCTCAGCGACCATGACGAAAATTGAGCTGACCTTAACAAAAAGATTTAGCCGTAACTTCTTCCAGGTGCAAATCGTAGCGCCGCCTATACAATCTCGCGAATATCCAGATTTGTATCTTTTGAAGACAGAGAACAACGGGAAAATGACTGCCCGGAACTTCGAGACAACATCAAAAATGGCAATTTCGGGGCCGAGAGATCGAATGATGACGTTAGAACGTTTAGAAACACACATATTTGCTGCAATAAATAGCGCAGGTTAATCTTCGAATACTCTAAAGTTCTTCCATGTAAATTCTTTAGGCTAAAACTAAACGCAAATCTGGCTTTCCCTTTTCGGCTTTTGTTGTCCAATTTCGACTGATTTATTTTCATTTCTTCATGTTAACTTCACGAATGTGGATTGTTACCAGGGTTGAATTTAGAAATTAGAGTGGGTACTATCCTCTTCCCAAGCATCGTTCGAGGATGCCCCTGTCTGTATCATTATTACGCTGACCTGAAAGTACGAAATCTTGTAACTAGTTCAGTAGTTGCAGGCTCAAGAGGGGGGTTGAGTGGCTGAATGGTTTAAGTTAACAAGTGTTAGATCACAAGGTCTGTCATTGAAACAAGTGGAGTTGTTTCGATTCCCCGCTTTTTACGTGACAAGGAGTAGGGTTACTGTCCTACTCCTACCATGTGGGTTTTCTCCTGGTTCTCTGGTGTCATCCCGCAGCTAAGGACCCCTTCGCGCCTAGTTCCTTTAGGGACTGTCTCTGATCAGGCGATGTCTGCTGACAGTTCCTATCCGTTCCTATATAGCAGCAATATGAAAATATGGTAAAATACCGCTCTTCCCCACATCTGTTCTCATAAACTCTCTCTCTCTCTAGTTGCAACTAACAAGCTGGCAGTTAGACTACCAGAATAACACAGTCACAGGGGAATTATGTCTGACATTGTCTGTACCTTCCAGTTTCAGTGTTTGCCCTAATTAATCTTATGCATTCAGAAACATTCCTGGTTTTCTGTAGGCCGGCCAGCCTGGGCGCAGTATGGCAGTAACCTGCTGACTTTCAATAACAATATTTTCAAGAAATGCAGTAAGTCATAAGTTGAAGGCTTCAAATGGCATAATATGTGGTTTATATCTGATGGAATTTCAAATCTACATTTATTACATTGGACAACTTTTATGTTGCATGTTATGCTAGAATAAAAATAATCCCCATAAAAATGATCAACGAGTTCCTTTATCGCATAATCTAGCTTCAGTACATGGAAACTGCTCAAGTCAGAATCCGACTAAATGGCAGCCGGGTTGAAATGTAAAATCTCATTGAATGTAAATTTTATATTTTCAGGTCATGCTATTCAAGAATTATCTAAAGATAAACCAGTATCAAAACAAGTTGAACAACATACAACAACATTCTTAAAAACATTACAAGAGATTGATACTGGACTGACCTTACAGATCAACTATCTTACTCAAGTTTCTACAGGTTTTTTGTCTTCAATTATTCTATGCAAACCCTTTTCCAATAAGTTTCAGCATCAGTCCTGCCTTATGAGGATCCATGTTTTCAGTGTTTTTTATATGTGGTCGTATATTGCTGTCGCCCCCGTCTATCTGTCGTCAACAATGTCTAGGGAACACGATAAACTACATTTATCGTCTGATTGTTTTGAAATTGATTATGTTGTTTACATCAATAAGAAGAAGAATCCTATTTAATTTCAATAATTTCAATTAATTACTTCTAGAGTTATAGTCCATGTTTCACTTTGATGAACCTTATGACACTTAACGACTAAAGTTATCATCCGATCTGAATGAAATTTATATGCATCATTTGAATTAGTGAAGTATCCTATTGAATTTCAGCAATTTCCGTTAATTTCTTCTACTTCTAGAGGTATCGACCTTGTTTAACTTTGTTGAACTTTAGTGAAGTACATCCTATTGAATTTCAGCAATTCCTGTTAATTTCTTCTAGAGTTATCTACCTTGTTTAACTTTGTTGAACCTTATGAATGCTCGAATTATCATCTGATCTATATGCATTAGGGGAATTGGGTGGCCGAATGGTTAGCACATGCGTGCTGTATCATACGGTCTGTCATTGAGTCAACTGGCGTGGTTTCAATACCCCGGTACAACGTGACAAGAAGTAGGGTCACCTGTCCAACCACATGGGTTTTCTCAAGGTCCTCCGGTTTCCTCCCACTGCTAAAGACCCCTACGTGCAAGCGAATTATTGAAATAAAATTGAACTATATGTTAGTCCCAAAATGACATAGTGGGTCTTGAATGGACGTTAAACCCCATTTCTCTCTCTCTTTCTCAATATATATGCAATATTTAAATTAATCAGAATATAGATATGTCCAGACAATGCAAACAACCATCAGCAGCTTTAACTCAATATAAATTCTACTGCAATTCTACTACATACATGCAAAATCTAACCCATATCGTCAATAGATTGATAAATTTCCACTAGTATAACATCTAATTCAAATGGCACCGCTTAAACCCATTTATTTACAAAATGATTTTCGGACAAGACCAGGTCTCACACTGCTTTCATTTTTTTTCCGCCAAAATGGATCAATCAGCTGAAACCATTAATCTGAAACAATTGTGTAGCACTACTCATTGACACGTTTGGGGGTATTAATAGAGAGAGAGAAATGGGGTTTAATGTCCACTCGACACAAACTAGGTCATTTCGGGACTAACATATGGTTTAATTTTATTTCAATAATACGCTTGTGCGTAAGGGTCTTTAGCAGTGGGAGGAAACCGGAGGACCCAGAGAAAACCCAAGAGGTTGGACAGGCGACCCTCCGGTATTAATAAGCAAGTTGATTGATTTATAGTACTGCCGCTACACGTGCATGATTGACACGCAACATAAAAGGGTTAATCCAAGATAAAAACGATTAGAATTTTAAGATTTTTTTTTCGGCACTTCTAAAAAAGAATCGCCAGTACCCTAAAACTTTATCACCAAAATTTTTGCCAAAATCAAAATTTAGTCGACACTTTCCCTTTTTTTTTTATTACAAATTGCGACTTTGGCGACCAACAGCGTGAGCCCTTGACAAGACACATGCCCCTGGCCCCAAAGATTGATATGTGGAAATAAAAATTACAGTTTTTCTTGCTCTTCAGTTCTTTACATTATGTTTGTGTAATGGCTTTTTAATTTTTATTTTAGGTCAACCACATGAGGGATCTTGTTATGCCGCCCAAAAGGATTTACAGATGGCATTCCACAGATTAGAACATGTAAAAAGTCGCTTAGGAGAACTTGAAAAACTTAAAACAGAACATTTACGCATCAGACAAGCTCAGGCACAGCCAATGATACGAAGTTATTCGTTACCTGAGCAATCTCATATATGATCTCTTTATATGGGTGTGAAATTTTGAAGTGGGGGTTGGTTGGCCGAGGGGTCTATCTCAAGTGCTTTAGATCATAAGGTCTGTTATTTATTCATCTGGGTTTGGTGGCCAAATGGTAAGCACATGTGCGCTGCATCATAAAGTCTGTCATTGAGTCAACTGGTTGGTTTAGATTCCCCGGTTGTACGTGACAAGGAGTTTTGGGTTGTCTTCGGTTTCCTCCTACTGCTTAAGACCCCTGGGGTTTAACATCCCATTTGTACCTAAGTGGTTATCATCATTAAAATAGAATCTTTCATACACATTTTTTGTATACATTGAACAGAATGTTCAAATTTATCATACACAATTTTTGTATACATTGGACAGAATGGTCAAATTTATCATACACAATTTTTGTATACATTGGACAGAATGGTCAAATTTATCATACACATTTTTTGTATATATATCTGACTGAATGGTAAACTAATAAATGTAATAATAATCAGTTTTTATTTTTTTATTTTATATATATATGCTCACATTTAAAGATGCATTATGTAAGATTTAAATAAAAAGCTGACCGTTTTTACTATAATAGTTCAAAAATAGATAATGCTAAATGAATATATTGAAAATTTCATTCAAATTACTTTCTTCTGAGCAAAGTTATAACAGTTTAAGTATTGAGACGATATGGCATAGATTGTTTATTATTGTAACAGTCCAACCTCGTGGGTTTACTCCGGGTCCTCCGGTTTCCTCCCACTGCTAAAGACCCCTACGCGCAAGCGAATTATGTAAATAAAATTGAACCATGTGTTAGTCCCGAAATGACCTAGTTTGTGTCGAGTGGACGTTAAACCCCTTCTCTCTCTCTCTCTTATTATTGTAACAATGGTAATTACTATTAGAGACTTAGCCTCGCTTCACCATTTTTAAGTTAAATTATTAAATTGCAACCGTTTTTTAATCCGTTTAAATCTCTGCCATCCGATGGTCTGGAGTGATGATTATAGGCTTGTCATATAAATAAATGTCTAAATGAAAGTAATATGTAACTTTTGAAGCCAAAATAAAGACCTGCAAAAAGGCCATATTGAGCTTTAATATAACACATATTTAATGTGAGACAATAATTAATAGAATACAATGATATCAACCAAAAAGACCTCTGTTTTTTTCCAACATTTTATTGATAAAATTACTGGCTTTTTCAGGGATATCATTGTGATCTATTAATTACCAGTAGTATCTCATCTGATCTGATGGAGGGCTTGACAAGGACAGTTGTCTAGTCATTCGG